GGCACAGTAGGTACAGAACATGTAAGGTTCCCCGGACTGACTCTGTGACTTGTCGTCGTCGGGAAACAGGCTTGGCGATGCCACACCATCATCGGTTGGCGTGTAGCTTGCTTCGACCTTTACATTAACAGAGCCGTCCGCATCCGAAGAAGAAGGTATCGCAGCAGGCACTGGCCGAGTGGGATCAAGACCAGCTGGATATGAACGTGGCTCGGCTCGTCTCTTGCTACGCGAGGAAGTTGAAGAAGCAGAGGAAGCGGCTCGATCACTGTTGCTGGTGGACGAGGAAAAGGTTGATGCAAGTGATAGGCGAGATCGCCATGATGATGCCGAAGAAGAAGTGGTGGTAGAGCTGGCGGTGCTGGTGGACATGAGAGACGAGGCTGTAGAATTGCGGCCTACAGTCGGTGAGCGGAAGCAGGTGGAGGAGGAGGAGGAGGAGGAGGAGGAGGAAGAGGAAGAAAAACATACGCGAATCTATAGCTTGGGAAAACATGCGCTGGATCAAGTGCGGCGGATGTCTTGCCAGCAGGGCCTCGATGTGCCGCATCGACTCCTCTGGTATGTCTAGGTTGTCCTCCATGTTGGAGAGGCAGCCTTGTGCTCAAGAATGATAGCGTACGGGAACTACTGACATGCCCACTAAACAAGTCGCGCAAAAGCAGGCGAAATGGAGACTAAAACGAAAGACAGACTTGGGTATGTACAAGAGAAGGTGGAGAAGGTATCCAGGTGTCGCGCGGTGAGACTAAGGGCCAAGGGATGGGATAATCGTGTATCCGAGCAGGCATCAGCAACTGTTGGTGCGACAAGTTGATATACAAGTGGGATCACCTCATCCAATATTGCAGCGGGGAACGCGGAAACGGCACTCTTCTAGAAGGCGTATGGAAGGATCGTAGAAGAAGCTAAACGGGGGTGGTCGCAGGGGCGCTCGTGCGCGCGTCAACATGACCACGATCCTTGTCTGGCCTCAAGGTTGGGGCAAGGCTGAGGTTGTGACGGGGCGTGAGAGTGTAGCGTGTTTGAGGCGTCCGCAGGGAACGGTAGAAAGGGCCTGTCAAGTGTCAAGCGACGAAAACGAAGACGACGACTCTGCACTCTGCACTCTGCACTCTGCACAGCTGCCACGGTTGCAACAGAATAGTGCGAGGCGCCGTCGGATTCCTTTCCTCGCGACGACTCAGTCCGGCAGAGGAGTGTCTGCCGTGTGCCATGATTCGCACAGACGAATATATGTGTGAGCAGAGCACGCACCTATCGCATTCGCACAACCGCGCATTTGCAACCCAGGCATCCGAAGACTAGGCCCTGTAAGGGGCATGCCGCACCGTACCTGAATGACGCGCCGATGGATTACTGCTTCAAGCGTGCTGGCGCCGTCATGAGTGACATTGTGATGGGACCTGACAGGATCATATTCCTCGTCCCACCCACGCCGAACATGGGCACCGCGCCGTCGCTTCCACTAGACGACCGAAAGGACAAGCGACGGAACTGCTCACGGAGCCCATAGAGTGCTTGGACTCGATGTGAACGTGAAGGTCCCGGTCCCGGTCCCAACCTTCCACGGCCACCGAACCTGAGACATGGTGGCTGTCAGAATGGAGTGCTGACAGCAGCGAGCACGGCCCCCCATTTGTCCACGACGCCAATTTGGGTGCGCATGAGAATGGCTAGGCTCCTGCACCTTCGTCATGGCTGATTTGGCCATGTGCCTGGGGGGAAAGTCGAATATCCACTAGAGGAGGCAATGTAAGGAGGCGGCTGTCTGCCACAACGGGCAGGAGTAGGGGCCGGGTAAATGCCTTAGTCCATGATAAGAGCCTTAGCTACACTCCGAGGACAAGACTCAAACCACCACGACAGACAAGACATGGACGTTATCGCGCCATCATCAGCCCGTGTGTGCGCATCCGCGGATGAGAAAATAGATTGCCTCGGCCACGCCACTAGTTATCATTCCGCTTCCAGATCCAGGCCTTAGTCCAACACAACAACTCAAGAATAGAACACGTTGCTAAAGCTCATCGTCGTGTAAGACTGGAGACCACAGTAGCAGAGACTGGAATTTGACGTCACCCTGCCCAGTTTCCAGGGAAGTGGCGAGACGCCATCAACACTATCAATTACACCGGCAGACCATGTGCTGCGCAGATCAAGAATGAAAACCAGAAAGAAGTAAAAACTACGCACACGGAGCCCTGCCGCGACCGACCCGTAGCCAAAAGTGCCCAAGGAGCTGCTGGCGTGAACCACACCCATTACGCTGCTAGCTTGGATAACACATCCGTTACAAAGCGTCCGTCGCAGTCAAAGTTCCCCACCGTCCGGAAATTGCACGAGCTCTCAACCCCACCGCCAGTAATATTCACACTGTCCATCTTGATGTTGCTGCAGCTTTTGTCTCCACACAGGATGTAGTAGTTCCTCGCCTCCTGGTTTGCCGTGCCGGTAATGTTCCTCATGGTAACGTTCTGGATGATGACGCCGTTGGTCGGGTGGCCGGTTGGTCCGCCGTTCAAGTAATCCTGCTGGATGTCGATACCGTAGATGGAAATGTTCTGCACGTAGATGTTCTCGAACAAAATGTCGGAGATGAACCCCGTTGTGTTGGAGTTTGACTTGATGCGCGCACCGTTCTGGGCGTTGAGCACCTTGGAGTTGGTGAAGGAGACGTTGGTTACGTTATTGTCTGCATCGTGGTTAGCATACGACCTCGGCGAGATAAGAGGGGCTACACACTTGACTTTCCACCTATGGAGCCAATCGAGAGACCATGGCTACCGTCGCAGTACATGTTGTTCACATGGATGTTGTCACCACTGGTAACTGCAACGCAATCATCTTGGTTGAGGACAACGCTGTCGTGGATCTTGATGTTGGTGCTGCTCGACACGCCAAATCCGTCGCTGTTATGCGCAGCAGGTAGGCCTTTGGATCGATTATTGGGCGCATCACCTGCCGTGTTGTTCAGAGTGATGTGGTAGACGTCTAGATCCGCACAGTTGCTGATGGCGAAGCAGTGAACGGGGTAGTTCTGGATGTAGACGTCGTGAATTGAACTGTTTCCAGTAACCTTCTTCATCTCGATAAAGTGGTTTGGCTTGCTAACACCTCCATTGCTGCCGAGTCCATCCCACCAGGCCTGGCCGTTGCCATCGAGAATCGCGCCCTCTGCTGCAGTAACCTCAATGCTCTTGCCGCCAATGATGATGAAAGGGTAGTTGGCGTTGGCATACTCCCAGAACGTCTTTCCTTTGAAAGTAACCTTGGTGCCAGTCTTCAACGATGAGAGGTCAATGCTCGACTTTCCAGGAACGGTAATACCGTCGAGAATGATATCTGTGCAGGCGGCAGCTGCAGCTGGAATGTCCGCATACTTGGTCACGTGGCAACTCTCCGGGTACTGTGTTGGAGTAGGTGTAGGTGTGGCCTGCCCTACGGCGGCAAGGGTCAGTAGCGTAAAAATCCCTACCGATCTTGTTAGTCTGAAGGATCTTGTCGCAGAAAAGGGTCCATACCGTTAGAACGCATATCGAAGAATAAGATAGAAATAGAGATCAGGAAACTAGGGTGCGTCGGCCGTCACATATATATATATATATATATATATATAAGTACTGTTATGCTCTGGCCAGACCGCCTCTCATAGCTCATTTCCTACAAGGCACCGTTATAGTGGGCGGGAATAATCAAACATAAGTGATGGCAGTTTCATCTCCGTAAACGCACAAGCACCTCAAGCACTAAAGCCAAGAGCAACCAAGACTCCTTTAGAACGACTCCCAATTATGGTTTGCGCCCCACAGCGAAGGCGAATGCGTTTTGGAGGACGGTCGACTGGAAATGACAAAGGAAACTACACGCCTTCACTGGTTCTCCGCGGCATATGACTCGGTAGCATTGGTCCACATGCTGTCCAGAACGTGTAACCGGACATCTTCCGCAGTTCGCGTCCAACGGCGTGTAAGCCGTGTGCATACGGAGGAATAGTGTTCCGTCCACTGAAAACTTCCCTGATCACCAAATTGGAGCTGTTGGCAGCAGGGGTTGCTTGCCCTGAGATATTGGACACAAGCCGCAGTCGTCCGCAAGCATGTAAGCGGAGTTGGGCGGAGTTGGGCGGAAACTAGTGTTTCGATCACTCCAAGAAATGATGACAATCGCGATATCGGGAGTATCCATGGTGGAAATGTTGCTTGTGCACGAGTATGTCATGATTTCGGCGGGCGGGAGCCAGGTGCTAGCGGCTTGGCGTGATGATAGGGCCTTCTACGTGGATCGTTGCTAGACCCTTCCTTCTTCATTTGCGTAGCTCCGGCACTTAAGATGGGGCCACCTCGGGAACCGCGATTGAGGCTTTTCAACATTTCGATCTCAAGACATGTCCTCCCTGTCAGCTGTACCACCCATGGAAATGGATCTCCACCGGCGCCGTGAAGCCATCATACGATCTGACTGGAACGAGACAAAAGTCGCCGTGGCAGTAGCCTCGAAGAGTCTAGGTTTACAAATGGCAGAGGTAGTACCGGTAAGCCCGGATATCTGTAACCGCAGTACGAGCCTGAGCCTGTCCCGTCCAAAAGCAATAAGATTTCGAAATGAGCTGCATATCCACTTGTGTGAAGAAAGAGATGGCATGAGAAACGTCCACTGACGCTACGACATTGGAAAATGTTGAGCCCTGGAAAGTGAAACTGTGCCATTCATCGACTCCATAGAATGCCGTGAAGACCGGCATGCGTAAGCATGGTGAGGACGCGGTAGATGATCATCCCAGATGCCGCGGCTTATTTCAGCAACGTATGAGCCGAGCCGAGCCGATCACCGAGAACAGTGTTCAGGGGACGTCAGCAAGGCTGAATTTCTTGAGCATGACTATGACAGCTTCGCTTATGCGCGAACCAGTTATTACATCGCAGGTTCATTTGGTGATAAAGGAGACTAATGAAGGGAAATGTAACGGTGGGAACGAGGAAGAGGGGGATTGCATTGTCGGAGTAGCTATGAAGGAGGGCAGCTATATATATGAATGTGGGATGTACGAAGTGTGGTAGCGAGAGCAGTACCCAACTTGTACCAGAATAGGTCTTGGCATGGCCCAAACCGTTACACACCCTCTCAGATACGGCTCTCAGCAAGTAGCTGACCATAACTAGAGATGTGAAAATAACGGAAATAAATAAAAAAATACTCTAGTTCCACGCTGAAAGCTTAACTCCCTTCTCTGCTTCCTTATTTTCTCTTGGAGTAATAATACTCCGGATATCTTCAAGCCCTAATTGCTTGACAAAACTCTCATGCTTTTGACGAGGTAGTACCTTGGTCAAACCATCTGCGGGCATCTGATCTGTAGGCACCCAATTGACCTGTATTCGCTTCTGCTCGACTTCCTGGCGGAGCCACATCTGATGAGTATCCACATGACGAAGCTTTGTCTGAAGCCGATCTTCTCTCTTAGTAACGATACCAACCGTGGCTGTGTTATCACACAAGAGCTGTGGTGTGAACTCGAGCTCAAACTTAACGTTCTTGAACGCGCGTTGCCACCACTCCATCTCAGCCCCTGCAATAGAGAGAGCCATCAGCTCTGCTTCAGTAGTTGACTTTGTGACTGAGCGTTGCACTGTAGCCTTCCAGTCAATCGGCATCCCGTATAGCTTGAACATAAAGCCATGCGAGCTTCTGCGCGTCTCGAGATTGTCGGCAAAGGCAGCATCAGAGGCACCAAAGAACAACGGTTCCACTCCTGCCTCATTTGCTTCACCCTCTGTGATATACGACGCACTCTCGGTTCGAAGTGCTGTAGCGCAGATAGCGTAGTACTGAGTACCAATCAGGTACTCCCAAACGTGTTTGGCGGCAGCGAGATGCTTTTGGTTTGGATTCTGAAGATGCTGTGCGAGCACTGAGTGCGCTTTCGCAACGTCCGGTCTAGTGATACATGAGATGAATGCTAGTGAGCCAGTAAGGCTCTGAAACTCCTTCGTAAGCTCGGCGTTTGGTTCTTCATCACTCGGGCCTAGCCCCTCATTCAGCGGAGTTGCTGGGTATCGTCCGGATTTCTTCTGCAGTTTGAAGTTGGCAGCGACCTTGTCGACAAATGAGTCCTGTAACAGCCAAACTTTCCCTTGCTCTTCATCGCGTACGACGCGGATGCCTAAGAACCAACCAAGCTTACCTAAGCAACGTATCTCGTATCGATCCTTAAGCGCACGCTCAAACTCTTCATGAGCTGCGAGATCTTCTGGTCGAACCAGAACCACAATATCGTCAACGTAGAAGAAGACAATAAGCTTTTCGTTTGTAAACAAACATGGGATGCCTGGCACTGGCTTAAGTCCCATCTTCCGCAGTGAAGTGCAGAGATCGTTGTACCATAACAGCGGCGCTTCCTTCAGACCATACAAGGCTCGCCACAACCGTAGTAGCGGACCAAATTGATCAACGTAACTTTCTGGTGTCTGTACGTAGATCTTACGGTCGACTTTTGCGTTTAGAAACGCATTCAGTACATCATACTGGAAGGCCTTTAGGCCAAAGGCAGCCATTAGAGCAACAAGGAATCGGAAGATCCGAGCTGCTAGTGTAGCCGCATATGTGTCCTCGTATATCTGTTGTAAGTCTCCTCTTACAACTAAGCGTGCCTTGAACTTCGTGAGATAGCCGTCTTCATCGAATTTGTAGGTAAACACCCACATTAGCGGCAGTATCTCACCCTCGGCGACGCCTTCTTCGTGAGCTTCTGGCTTGAAACAGCCCTTTCTTACTATATCGTCCATTTCAGCTTGTGCTGCAAGCTTGAAACGGTTGCCAAACGGATGGCGTTCGAGATCTGACCAACGTTTCGGTGGAGGTGGAAGATGGTCTCGATGGAGGCGAACCTTCTTAGGCTCGTGAAGCTCTCGTGCTTTAACCGGATTGATTGCTGAGGCAAAGGTCGATAGATATGTTACTGCGAAAGTGGAGAGATACGCCGCATGAGCGCTGCCTCTAGTACGTTTACCGGCAACGATGTTATCTGACGTAATGGCAGGATCCGTCCGCCTTGGCGCGTTGTTTTCGCGACGATTCGGCGCCTCTTGACCCCCTTGCACTTAGACTCCGCAACAATCAATTCAATCCGGTCACTCTCCTAGACCCACTTACCTATCTAGGTAGGGCTTAAACTCCTATAGGTAACTACTAGGCTTAAAGCGGTAATCAATCAATCCAATCTGAACCTTCTAGGACCCACTTAATTGATTGTTGCGGACTGTGCTTGCACTGGCTCGTAGCCCTTTGGCAAGCTAATCTCTTCTTCAACGCTCGCGGCCCTACTTCTCCTTCCTCTCGCATCGGGCGAGACTGATAATCCTCCTGGGTCAATCGATCTTGCAGGTGTGCCCTCAGGCGTTGGTAGGCTCTGATCCCCTTTCGCTGACTGCTGTAATAGCTCTTCTATCAACTGATTATGTGCTTCATCCTCTTCTAGGATCTCAGTGCCATGCAAACCAAGCGGAGCAGCGAGCTCTAGAAGCTCACTAATCTCTAGTTCCTCTATCTCGCCTTCGTAGTCGGCGATATCAAGTACTGTCTTTACTGTACGTGCCACCCTCAAATCTGCGTAGACTGTTCTGCCATCGTATCTTGTATTCGGACGAAATACGACGTCTCGGGTGCGGATAACAGTGTGTGACTCTGGGAGCCATATCCTGAAAATGTTGGTGGAATCGTATCCAACTAAGTGGCCGATAAGCGCTCGAGACTCCATCTTGTCGCCACGCTTCAGCTTGGTGTTGAGGTAGTACGCCTGTGCGCCTATCTTGCTTAGGTGAGCCATCGAAGGCTTGTGTCCACCTGCGACTTCATAAGGCGTCTTCCAGCCAAGAGACTCGACTGGTGTTCGATTGAGTAGATATACTGCGGTCATGACGCACTCGTTGGCCAGCTCCTTGGGCAGACCGGATCCAATTCGGATTGCGCGAGCTCGGACGATTATTGTTGAGCCAGCGCGCTCGATGAGGCCGTTCTGCTCCTCAGTGTACGGAGCTCTTGTTTCAATCTCAATACCTCGGTTAAGAAAGAGCTGATGTAGTAGGCTGTATCCTCGCTCGCCGTCGATTTTCACTGCACGAACCTTGACACCATACTGAGTCTTAATTCGTGCTAGCAAGCGCTCGACTGCCGTTAAGAGCATTGGTGCTGACTTGTTTGGTAGGCATGCGGCTAGGTGAAGCTTGCAATTCTGGCACACCGCATGGAATAGCCAAACGTCACCGTTATAGCAGCGCTCGCCTGTCTCACGCAGCTGTACGAGATCGATAGCCAATCTTTCGAATGGTCGGGTGGCTGGTTCTCGCGGAGGCCTTCGGCTCTTGAACTTATGAAGCTTTGCTTCAATACATGTCGTACAGGTCTCCCAAGTTGGCGCTATTGTGCCTTCTTTAATCTTTACACCATCGACACCCTGCTCGAGCTTTGAGATAACCTTAGCGCTCGGGTGGCCCCAAATCTCATGGGCTTCCTCCGCCGTTAGCTCAAGCGGTCGTCGATCAGCGTACGATGGTTTCACCGCTTGAATCCTTCTCTTTTCTGCTGCATTAACAGACTCTGCTACACTTGTAGACTCTGCTACACTCGTAGACTGCAGGTCTTCTACACGCGGTCTCTCATTTTCGTCCGAATCCATCAGCCAATGCCCTCCTTCGGGACTAAGCTTACACACGACGTTCTTTGGCGACTTCTGGTATAGGCAGTCTCGACCTGAGTCGAACTCAATTCCCATCGTACGGCATCGTGAGAGAGCGACAAGAGAGGTAAAGAAGCTCGGGATATACGCTACCCAAGTAAGCTTAATTGGAGATGTTCCGTGCGGCGTGTTAATCATGATCTTAACCTCACCCCATTCCTTGATCGGAATACGCTGACCTCCAGCCAAGATCTCATCATGGGCGTTGGCATCTGCAAGCTTGCGCCAAGTCGAATTTCGATGATTAGACACGTGTAGGTTCGATCCTGGGTCGAGTATCCATCGCGTTAGTAGCGATGAAGGCTGCTGAGTAGCCTCTACTTGGAGACATGCATTTGAGCTCCGACCACTCTTCGTGCTTCCATCGTCAAAGGCAGCTGACTGAGGCTTACTCTGCTGACCTTGCTTAGCGAGCTTTGCTTCTACTGATCTCAAAACGGCTGAGATTCTGCTGCCTTCGCCTCTGCTTCGGATGGTATCGAATTTCTTCTTCATATCTAAATCCGCCTTCCATCCAGAGCTACGCTTTGCTGAGTTGACGTACGGACAATCAATAAAGCGATGCTTCTCTCCACACAGGCAGTTAATCTTTCGAAACTTATCAGTATCCTGGGATATCTGAGATTGTTGGGATACTTCCTGTGGGTCGCCTAACGCCGCAAAGGTTCCTAGCGTTGAAGCCACTGGTTTCATTTGACGATAGTACAGTCGAAATCGCCCCACAAGATCAACTGCTGGTAAGAAGGACTCTCCTTCCTCTTGCTTTGTGATCATGCTAATCCTTTGTGATGTAGCCCATGAATCATCAGTCGATTGTACTGAGTCGAGAAAGTCCCGCTGTGCCCTTGTACCCTTCACTTCTGCCATCTCAGCCGCGGCCATGAGCTCAAGGAGCTCCTCCCAGCTGTCGAGCCAGGATTCGATATTAGCGCGCTTTGGCATCTTGCGAAGCGCTATATATTGCGAGAGTAGCTGAGTCTCTCGCTCTGCTGTCGATGGACAGAGCTGGTTCTTTAGTTTCCTCAATCGTGCGTGCGGCGTATCTAGATTCATGATCCAATGTAGCCGACGCTCTGAGATCGTTGTCGCGATCTCGCTGTTGAACTGCCTTAAAGCAAGTTCTTTCTTTTCGAACTTTGTTAGTTCCTTCTGGTAACTAGTGTACCAAGCTGAGTACTTCCGGTATTCGTGCTCATCGAGATGCTCGAGGTCGTAAACTATGCCGACCTGTCGCTCCCGTCCGTAGAAAGCACCTGCTTCCTTCTTTGCGGGCTTCTCATCTTCGAGCTTAAGTACCGTTTCTAGCGCAACGTTAGGGTTAACGTACGCCCATAGATCGTTCCGCTGCGCGCTATCTTTGCGCAGGAAGATCCACTTCTGCCAATCTGACGGTTGATCGAGAATCACCGTCGTCTTCGTAATCAGAAGATCACTATTCATTGTAGCCATGGTGATAGCTGATGATAACTGCTGTCGTTAAGATAGACGTCTACTGTTAGACCGATTATAACAGTAAGTCTTAACTAAAGCGGGATGTGAATGCAGTCGATTAACGGCAAGCCGGGCTCATAACTGGAACGGTGGGAACGAGGAAGAGGGGGATTGCATTGTCGGAGTAGCTATGAAGGAGGGCAGCTATATATATGAATGTGGGATGTACGAAGTGTGGTAGCGAGAGCAGTACCCAACTTGTACCAGAATAGGTCTTGGCATGGCCCAAACCGTTACAGGAAAGAACTCAAGAAAAGCTTGGCGGAATTCGATGGCAGTGAAACCAACAAGCTGTTTTTGGGTTCCCTTAAGAAGAGATCTCAACCTGGGAGATGGTCAAATCCTCCCGCCTCGTACCTCAGAATGCCGTCGTAGCAAAGTGCGTTTCCCGTTGCGGTCACTCACCTACATTCAAAGCCCATCATTCGTCCCAAGGAAGCCCATGTGACAATATTTCAAGAATGCATATATATTGAGCATATTGCGGGAGCATCTAGGGAAACAGAGGCAAAGTGCAACGATTCTGTCCTATCCCAAAAGGTGGCGAGCTATATCTAATGAGAAAACCATTAACAAGGATAGGCAAAATGAGTTGTATCTCATGGTTCAATTGTCTTTAAATCCACTCTTTACACAGCCCCATACTCTATTTTCCACGACATGATATCATTCCGAACCACCTCTAACTCGTTTGTATCCCCAAAAAGGGTCACATGCAGCTGCCATCAAAGATGATCATTATAACCTATCCGCGTCTGACTGACGCAAACTTCATACTCATCATTCCACCTTTAGTCCCCAATAATAAACGCTGAACACAACTACAGATATCTTTACATCCCTCTTATAAAAAGAATAGAGCCTTCCCCCATAATTAAACCCGCAACATCATGCTATAAAAGCCCCAAGACTCCCGCTAAACTCACAATCTAACTCCTCATTAATATACGTCTCATATCACGAAGACCAGACTAAAACAGCCAAACTCACCATTCCCAGTCCTAGCGCCTCAACCCTCCCAGCACCCCCCATGATAGGCGTCGAAACAGGCGCACCCTCCACCGTCGGGCTCGGCCCAGCATCAATAAAGCTCTTCCACGCCGCCGCTCCCGTCAGCGTCGTCGCCGGCGTCCCCGTACTGGTGCTCAAACTCAAACCCGTACTCGTACTCGTAACCCCCGAACGCGTAGCCGTCGCAGGACCCACATACACCCCCCTCGTCCTAGTCGTCGTCGAAGAACTCTCATTATCATCAGGCCCATTACTTCCATCTTCTAGATCGAGGATGTCGCTGGGATCAACATCCGGTTTATCAGAATCGGGGCTATTGGTATCATTGTCGGGACCATCCGGGCTGTCTGGTGCATCTGGTTTATCGTCTTTTGGTGGCTTGGTCCCGTTTGGATTTGTGACGGGTTCTGGGTCAGCGGCGGGGATGCGGTCCGGGTTGTTGGGGTTGGGCGTGAAGGGTTCTATGGGTCTGGGGATGGAGATTGGTTTGGGGATCGGGGCGGCTGGGACGGGTCTGGGGATTGGGGGGATTGCGCGGGGGTTGAGGTTGAGGTTGAGATGGGAGGCAGAGGGTTTTTTGGCGTGGGTGGGTGGTGTGAGAAGGAGGAGGAGGAGAGATATGAAGGATGTGTTTGGGTGCATTGTCGCTGTTTGTTCGTATAATGCTGGAGACGGGTCCCGGGGTAATCGTGAAGTTCAGAAGGTTGAGCGAAATAACACCCACAAACAAATCCACAAATAACCTCACAACCTCAACTTTCAACGTTCAAGTAGTAAGAAAACAGCAAAGCGACCATGGCAAAAAAAAAAAAAAAGACAGAACATATAGATGCCTACCCAGACATGCAATCTAAAAACCCCATAAACCCTCCCCACGGCCCCCCGCCATCTTCGCCATACCCACAACAAACTCGCATCTAAGCCACTAATTGCCCATGTGACGTGTGTTGATCAACAGGCGCAGTGTGTTTCAGCCCCCATTTAGGCCCCATCACCCATCAACCACGACTCGCTATGCCTCCCTGTTTAAGCGCAAGCGGGCGGACTTGGCAACGTGGGGTGCCTGATGGAGACAGACGTAGCGGTAAGTTACGGGAGATACCGTGGTACCGTAAACGTGAGTATACTGATTCATGTTGGAAAATTGCGTGGAATAGAAAGACGAAAAAAAAAAGGATTTTAGTCGCCATGGGTGGGTGATTGAGGTTGGAACGAAAGAAAGATGAGGTGCAAGTAACTAACTAGTCAACGCAGATGCGAGTCAGCAACAGTATTTTAACGTTGCCGGGTAACTACCTGACATCAAGCTACCACAACAGCACGATACCAGCGCCATAAGCGACAAAATCTGCCTTGTAGGAAGGATGTGATAGTGGCTTTGTTGAGTAGCACGTTGTAGTTTAGGCGATCAATGCGTTGCGCCGGGGATATTTATCATGCGGCCCACTGAAAGGGCGTAAGTTAAGGCGGAAGTCAATGTGGGGGCCGAAAAGGCTGGGTGGGTAGGGTATTTGATGTGTTTGTTTGACTAGGGGTCAGTGGAGAGTTTGTGCTACGTCGTTACGATGGAAGAGGGAGAAAAGAGATAAGGCGAGATAATAGTATTGGGCGAAGAGAAAGAGTGATTAAGCCCGGATAATTTCTATCGTGATGCCTGTTTTTGTCTAGAAACGCCATACATCACATCGCATCGCACATACATCACTATACCACCAATACCCCAAACCCTTCCCAAGCAAAACACTCTAACCCGTGTAAACCAGCACATTAATGCACCTCCTCCCCACCATTTCCATTCCCACTCCCACCCCCCTTCCCACTCCTAAAATCCGGTGTCCCAGGCCTCGACCTTTCACCCCCAAAGAAGGCAATATTCTCCCTCAACGCAATATACTCGCTATCCGCATACCCCAATGCCTCACTAATTTGCGTGCTGTGCAACCCTTTGATGCGTCTAATCTCCGTAGCTGAGTAGTTGACAACCGCGCGTCCGATTTCAATGGGGGCGGGATTGTGGAGTTCGTAGTTGGGCGGGTGCGGTGTGGAAGAGCGAGAGTGGGAGTGGGAGTGGGAATGAGAGTGAGAGTGCGAAGAGGGATTGTGGATGGAGTGGGAGGAGTTTGAATGTATGAGTGGGTGGCGAATGGGGATTGGGGCGTGGACGCCATGAGCGAGGGCGCCGGGCGTGTTTGCTTGTTGGGGAGGTGTTGAGGTGGTGGGGGATTTGGGGTTGTGGTGCGTATTTTGGAGTCGTTTTACTACGACGATGCGGACGGCTTCTTGTTGGGCAAAGTGGCCGTCTACTTCTACGATGCCGACGGGGAGGAGGCCGGCTTTGTCGCTTAGTGCGGCCCATGCGCCTTGGTCGATGTAGATGGTGCCATGGGGTGCGAGGCCGTGGAGGATCCAGAAGTAACGGTCGCGGATGGGGTTGGAGATGGGGAGGAAGCGTGTGTGTAGGGGGACGGGCTCTTCGATTTTCGGGGACGAAGTTCGTGCTACTTGCTGGTCACCGAGTGTGGATGTTGAGGCCGAAAGATCCTGATGGTGCGACTCTTGAGATGTGGATTGTGCAAGGGCGCTGTCGTCTTGGAAGTTTGTCACCGAGTTTCGACTGGACATCCGAGCCTTCCTCTGCTTTTCCGCATGTGCAATGATACTTGAAATGTTGCCCGGTTTGTCACTCTTGGTGATGACGGTAGTAACGCCCGCGCTGGTGGCTAGTCTTGCTGCCACTATCTTCGTACTCATACCACCCGTTCCCAGCGAACTGCCTGCAGAACTAACATCCGCCGCCAACTCGGCAATATCCTCAACTACGGTAATTGCCTTTGCGTCCGGGTTGGATCGTGGATTCTTGTCGTACAAACAATCCACGTCCGTCATGAGGAAGAGGTAATCTGCCTGTACCATACCCGCAGTAATAGCACTGAGCGTATCGTTGTCACCAAACTTGATTTCCGTAACAGCCAAGGTATCGTTCTCATTCACAATCGGAATGACGCCCATGCTCAGAAGCTCAATAAAAGTATTTTGCGCATTTTGGTACTGTGTCCTATCCGCGATATCGTTACGCGTCAGTAGCACCTGCGCAATGGGCTGCTCCAAGTTGCCAAACAACTGGTCCCATAGCGACATGAGTCTGCTCTGGCCGATGGCAGCAAGCGCTTGTACTTGTGGGAGGTGTTTAGGGCGGCGGGGAAGGTTCATACGCCGAAGCCCGACTCCGATGGCGCCCGACGAGACGATTACGACACGGTGGCCGGCAGTACGCAGACTGCATGCTGTTTCGACAATAAGGGAGAGGATGGAGAGGAGCGGCTGGTGTGTTTTCTCGTCGACTATGGAAGAGGTGCCTAAGGGGAGTTGGTTAGATGCTCTCTCCTTTGCGCAGAGACGAATGTACAGTATAGAATTTACCCAGTTTGATTACAACGGTGAGCTGGCCTGGCTGCTTGCGCATGTGAACTGCCATTGTTGTGGTTTAGAGGTATGCACAGCAAAAGGGCAGAGAAACGAGCTTCAGAGGTGAGAGATGGTTTATAACAAAGCAAGTAGACCGACAGCTTCTCCAACTCGTTCAAGCCACGCAACAAACACTCTATTCTGCGCGCAATTGATGACTGGAACGAGGCCAAAGTTCCTCGCAAGCGATCTTCGGCCCTTGTTCGCGCGGTGACGTCTTCGCTCCGATTGGCTCCCCACGCTGCCACCCAAATGTAACTTACCCCATCTCCACCCAAACTTTTCGCGACGGCAGACGGGGAAATCTCCAAAACGCGCCTCAACTTCAACCACCGACACCCACAAGTTCGATTGAAACATCACAATGGCAAACCCAGAAACAGCCCCCGATGGCGCTTCCCTCTCCGCCCTGTCGCAACCCCCACCCCCCAAAATCGACCCCGTCTACTACACCTGGTCCTCAACTTTCAACATAATGCTAGGCCGCATGACCAACTCGCGCGACGTAACCCTCGAGCAAAACTACTTTTCCGAAATGGACACGCTAAAAGCCGACACCATCTGCCGACGCTGCGAAACCAACAAAAACTACCTCCTAGAATACAGCCCTATAATCCGCTTCCTCACCTCCGAAGTGGGCAAACTGGGCGGCACGCTCGACGCCACCAACATCCATTGTCGCATGTGCACAGCCGAGCAGAGCGGTGGCTTCAGCCTCGACCATGGGATTCTGTTGTGTGCGAATAAGTTTCGCAATCGTGGACATCAGGAGGATACTATGGCGCATGAGATGGTGCATGCGTGGGACCATTTGAAATTCAAAGTCGAGGCGGAGAACTTGAGACATCAGGCTTGTTTGGAGATACGGGCCAGTACGCTGAGTGGCGAGTGTAGGTTTGCGAGGGAGTTTTTCACGAGGAATCAGTGGCGCATTACGGAGCAGTTGCAGACGTGTGTGAGGCGGAGGGCGACGCTGAGTATGATGGCGAGGCCGGGGATAAAGGATCAGGAACATGCGGGTAAGGTGGTGAATGAGGTTTGGGAGGCTTGCTTTAGAGATACCAGGCCGTTTGATGAGATTTATCGGTAACGTGGAATCCGAAGAGAATGTGTATGATATTATGGATGGGAGTGATTAAGTCAATGCATAGCGAATGGCGTTAGATGAGGTAACGAATAGATTTGAATCTTCGCTCATTATTGAAAAGTAGGTATTGGATTGGAAATGGATGCATTGCGTCCAGCTTGACAACTCGCATGCTATATTCAAACGCCGCTTACGCCAAAACCTAGCAAAGGACAGGACTCCGAGTGATGCAACAACAATAAGCAAGTGACTTCCATGCAAACTCCCTTTCGCCGTCGTAGATGTGAACATTAAGTAGACCAGTAGGTCTGGATTTAGTACGAGTCGTTGGTCTCGTCTGAGCTACTGCGGCCCTTGCCAGCAGACGTACGCTCGTATGCCCGCGTGCTGCCTTTGCAGTGCTTGACAATCCATGGGTGTACCTCAACATCCTCAAGCGCGATACGCTTCTCTGGGTCGAGCACCAACAATCTCTTGATAAGGTCCCGCGCCTCGGAGCTGACAAAGCTCGGTACTGTGTATTCTCCCCTTGCAATCTTGCGCTGTGTCATGACCTGAGTGTCCTCGAATGGCGCTTCACCGACAAGGAACTCATACGTCAGGACACCCAAACTCCACAGGTCAACCTTCTCAGAGTAGAAGTTGTCCTTGCCGCCACCGCGAAGCATCTCCGGGGGCAGGTAGTCGAGAGTTCCGCACATGGTGTTACGGCGGTTGTTGGGTGCGTGTACCGACCAGCCAAAGTCGGAAATCTTGATCTCGCCGTGAATACCAACGAGGATGTTCTCGGGCTTGATGTCGCGGTGCATGACGTGCTTCTTGTGGAGGTACTTGAGAGCTGCAGCCATTTGCGCAATGTACTGGGCAGCTTTCCATTCCGGGAAGCGTTGTTCGCGGCGGAGATGCTTGTACAGTTCTCCCTTGCCGGCAAATTCGAGAATAAGGAAGATGCGTTTGGCATCGTGGAAGTGACCAAAAAGCTTGAGGATATTGGGGTGGGTAAGGTGGGATTGAATCTCGATCTCTCGTCGCACCTGCTTCTCGACCTTGCCTTGCTGGAGCTCAGACTTGTGGAGGACCTTCAAGGCACAAACGAAGCCTGATGAGCGCTCTTTGGCAAGGTAGACGCGACCAAACTTTCCCTTGCCGAGGGGCTTGCCAATCTCGAACATGCCGAGATGCCATTGTTTGGGTGTTGATGGGTTGGAAGGGACGGTGTAGACGGCCGAATCGGTAAGGGTGCGGCGATGCGATGGGTTGTGCTCAGAGGGTCGGCTGGTGCTTGCTGAGATTGTGACTTTGGCAATGTTTGCAGTCTTTGCATTCTGTGTTGCAATCTTTTGCAGGGGTATCTGATGGGGCAGCTTCATGCGGTTGGCGGCGGATTGTGATGACGATAGACCAGCTACCGCAGGCTTGGTGATGTTAGGAACTGCTGCACTCATCATGTTCGATACTACATACCTTTGCCTTGTGGTACGCCGTAGTAGAGACGATTTGCTCATCATTCTCATCGTTGATGGTGGTGCGCTCAAAGGCAGCCTCAAGGTTTGCGACGTCGGCCATTGTTAATATCCAAAGGCTGATGTAGCGACAGGAAGCAAGATAAGAAGAGAAGAAACAACAAGTAAATGCCTTGTGCGACGTGGAAATGGTCGTCGTGAAGATGGGGATGGTTTCAAGGTTCAGGCGGTGTCGAGACAGCTACATATCCACAAACAAGTGGATGCGCGCGTTGCTATAGGAGACGCAGCCATCGGACGTCGGGGCCTCCGTTCGCGCCCCACTCGGCTCCTCCCCGCCATCGATCGCGGCCTGCACAGGGCACGCCGAGGGGCTTCATCACTTTCTCTAGCAAGCAACACATTGTCGCGAAGCACAAAAATGGCCTCCCTCAATGGCGCGCCTGAAGATACCGTGGCGCCCGGCCTTGTCGATACGTCCATCACCAAGGAGGGCTTCAAGATCACCACGCGCAAACTACCTATCCTAAAGGCTGGCCCGATAGAAGAAATGACCAAGAAGCTAGGAATAGCGCCCCCTGAAATGATATTTGGAGACAACTTGGTCCGGATAGAAAACATCGAGAGTGGCTGGTACATTGAGTTCAATGCATTCGATGCGCTGGACCGGGTCGACAAGACGGGCGAGAAAATGTTCAAGGTCTCATACTCGAAAGAGTGGCAGCAGAACCGGTACGACATATTCAGTCGGTGCACATGCTACGAGACTGACGATAGCCAGACAGAAGCAGTTTGAGGACATCAAGGAAGTTGTAAAGCCCTTTGACTGGTCTTACAGCACCGACTACAAGGGCACCACACCCCCAACTCCAGCCTTCGAGCCCACCGAGACGCCAATACCGCTCGCCCTTCTCAAACGCCCCGATCCCATCCAATTCTTCGATGAATTAGTACTCTACGAAGACGAACTCGCAGACAATGGTATTGCCATGCTATCCTGCAAGATCCGCGTCATGCCACAACGGTTACTGTTGCTAGTACGCTTCTTCATGCGACTAGACGATGTGGTATTCAGGATACGGGATACACGCATCTTTGTAGAGTTTGGAGACAAGGTCATCCTAAGGGAATACACGGCAAGGGAAGAAAAGTACGAGGACGTACGGAAGAAGTTGGCGGGTAGGAAGGAAGATGTGCTTGCTATTATGCGCGACCCAAATCGCTTGGCAGAGCATATTCCTATTGTCGAACACACTCTGGAAGGACTACAGTTGAAGTGAGACGGACGAGGAGCGACGTCTAGATGGGTCTATGCCCGCTGCGCCACACGCGTCCAAATGGCACCGAGGACGCAAGCTTATTCATGATTCTGACCAGGTTCGCGTTATAATTATTTACCAAGGGACCTCAACTCACACTAACGCTTGACAGAAAACAGCATTCGCTTGACAGTAATCGGAGCTGAATCCCATACTGAATTGCTTCGACCGTTCTATCTCATACCTGGTTATTGCACTGTGATATTCATCATGGAGTCTCATATATGGCACACTCATGCTTGCCTGTGTAAATCAAAACACACTTTGGACATGGGCGGTTCGTACATAAAACCCGGAATATCACAGCAAATCACTGATTGATTGATCATCTTCGTGATGAGGGACTTCCACCATCACGTGTTTCCCGCCTAAGTACAAACATCACATGTACAGTTCGGTTATCATTATCCTAGCTCGGAATGAAGTCCCCATTGCAACCCTACAAGGCTGAGGTTAGATTCATCGATGCTAGATTTCTATCTCAATATCACGTGCATCTGACAGTCCAGATCTCCCCATCCGTCATCTGTCATCTGTCATCTGTCATCCGTCATCCTGCATCCTGCATCCCCGGGACCGGAGACGAACATCACCGGACTGCCAAGCTGCGATCAACCTCGTTGCCCCGACCGTCCGATACCAAGCTTTGAATCCAGACTCTGTTCGCATTGCTGTATACACGGAACCGATATTTCAAACCCGTCTCTGGGTGCCGCACGCTAACAAAGGCGTCGGTCATGCAATGTGAATCGACAAAGGCGCGGTTGATCAAACATAGGAGGCTTTTCTTGCTTTTGCTTTTGTCGCAAGCGTTTCAGAATTTATGAGTAAGAACGAGCATGTTTTGGACATGGTGCTCGAAGGGGTTCAGTCGATGATGCGGATGAGTGCGGAAGCCACACATGCGTGGCTGTGAAGTTTGTGCATGCATATATGTGTTTTTCGATAGTACCCAAAGGGCATATCATCTTGCCATCTCCTACAAGCCGGTTAGGGCGAATACACAAATCTATTCAGGCCAAAAAACAGTCAGGGATCGGTTGCGATTGCCTGTCTTGACGATTATTTTGGTCCGCGATCGACAGGCACTTGCTAATTTCGGACGACTGTCCGTCCGGAATCCGTCGGAACACACCTACCGTACCCTGCAGCTCGCTATTCGGTCTTCTTTCACACATGCCTTTGCTCGTGTTTCCCAGGAGCCCGGTGAGTCGGAGGGTACAATTCCTGTGTCACCCGGCGATTTCAAAGTGTTGAGAGATTCGTATCGACGGTGTGAGATGAGGCAGTGTATGTCGGTGGGCTCGGCCACGTACGGACGAAGATGCGGACGTGCAAGATGATGCAAACACCAACAGAGAATCTTCCATGTACGCACTATTGCTGCGTAGGTGGCATTTTAGCCCAAAAACATTCGGATGACGCTTTACACGGTGAGCGAGTTTCCGCGTCCGAGTTGTGAGGTCATCCTGTCAGCCATTGACGAAAGCCTCCTGTGCCCAGTCATGAGGCTAAAGCATGCCTGCAGCTACTGAGCAGGTGTCAGGATCCGCAGTGTCAGAGTCCGGCCCGTATAGCGCGAGCGAATTCCCAATCAGGGATCTGTAATCATGGCCAAGGACGAATCTTAGTCCAGCTATCTCGTCCGACGTGTTGGTGCTTTGTCTAGGGGCTGCTGGTATGAAGAGGACCCGCGATCCGGGGGCTATGACCGCATCAGATCAAACAATATCTACTACTTGATATACTCTCTTACAACCCCAGATGTGCTGAACTCGACAACATCAACTTTGACATCACACACCAACCACAGTTGTTGCAACACATCATGGCCGCCCCACACTCCAACGGCGAGCCCTTCATGTCGAGCACTTCAAATTCACAACAAAATACTTCCCACATACCCATCGGAAGGCATTACCAGGACAGCCTCAGGCCGCGAGACGTACTTTCCTGATGGCCCACGAGGAGGTTATACAGCTAGCGCAAGTCAGCACTGGAAGTTCATCCAACTCATCACAAACCCACGTCGGGCAAAATGGCTTTCCATCGAAAACAAAGGGGGAGATTTCCTCGTCCGGCTCCTACGAAGCAGCCCCTGGAACACTTCAACGACAACCCACACGACCCGAGATCGACGACGAGGGAAGGCGAGAGCTGGTCCGTATCTTCTCAACAGCTTCCCCCGTGACACGCCAGATGAGCGTTGCACAGCCTGGAGACCCAACCGTAGATCCCAGCAGTGATGCATTCGATCTCACCAAATTCCTGCATATGTTCCGGAACCAGCTTGAGGGCGAGGGTGTTGAGATGAAGAAGCTCAATGTCGTCTACAAGAACTTGAACGTCTTCGGCTCTGGCAAGGCCCTTCAACTTCAGGACACTGTTACAGACCTCTTTCTTGCACCATTCCGTGCCAAGGAGTATTTTGGAAAGTCAGAGCGCAAGCAGATCTTGCATGACTTCGATGGTATTATCCGATCTGGCGAGCTCTGCGTAGTACTGGGACGCCCGGGCTCAGGTTGCTCAACGCTTTTGAAAGCGCTGACGGGTGAGCTGCACGGCCTGGATGCCGATGACTCGATAATCCACTACAACGGTATCCCACAGTCGCGTATGGTCAAGGAGTTCAAGGGCGAGACAGTATACAACCAGGAAGTCGACAAGCACTTTCCTCACCTGACTGTGGGTCAGACACTCGAGTTCGCCGCTGCTGTACGAACACCTTCAAATCGACCACTTGGTATGAGCAGAGATGAATATGCCAAGTTTATGGCCCGTATGGTCATGGCGGTTCTCGGTCTGAGCCATACGTACAACACCAAGGTCGGAAGTGACTTTGTACGTGGTGTTTCAGGTGGTGAACGAAAGCGCGTCTCTGTCGCGGAGATGATGCTTGCTGGATCTCCCTTCGCCAGTTGGGACAACTCGACTCGTGGACTGGACTCTGCTACAGCATTAAAGTTCGTGCGAGCACTAAGAGTCGGTGCCGACATGACTGGCGGTACGTGTGCAGTTGCCATCTACCAGGCTAGTCAAAGTGTCTACGATTGCTTCGACAAGGCCACCGTACTTTATGAGGGCCGTCAAATCTACTTCGGACCCGCCAACGAAGCTAGGGGCTATTTCGAGCGACAAGGATGGTATTGCCCACCTCGACAGACTACTGGAGATTTCCTAACCGCCATTACCAACCCGCTCGAACGACAAGCGAGAAAAGATATGAAGGACCAGGTACCTCGCACCCCCGAAGACTTTGAGAAGTACTGGCGGAACTCGCCTGAGTACAGGGCTCTGCTTGAAGACATCAAGGACTTTGAAGCTGAGAACCCTATCAACGAGAATGGTGGTCTCCAGCAACTGCGCCAGCAGAAGAACTATACCCAGGCCAAGGGAGCTCGCCCAAAGTCGCCATACCTCATCAGCGTTCCCATGCAGATCAAGTTGAACACACGGCGAGCCTACCACCGCATTATGGGCGACATCGCCTCGACTGCCACACAAGTTGTTCTCAATGTCATCATCGCTCTTATCGTCGGTTCCATCTTCTTCGGTTCTTCCAAGGGATCCAACTCATTCCAAGGCCGTGGTTCCGCCATCTTTCTGGCCATCTTGTTCAATGCCCTGACATCTATCGGTGAAATTTCTGGTCTCTACGCCCAACGTCCTGTTGTCGAAAAACATAACTCATACGCATTCTACCATCCTGCGACCGAAGCAATCGCCGGAGTTGTCATGGACATGCCCGTCAAGTTTGCTAATGCCGTTGTTTTCAACATTATTCTGTACTTCTTGGCCCGGTTGAGAACTACCCCTGGACAATTCTTCATCTTCTTCCTGGTCACATACATTGTCACCTTCGTCATGGTTGCCATTTTTAGGACAACTGCCGCGGTTACAAAAACAGCATCACAAGCAATGGCTGGAGCTGGTGTTTTGATTCTTGTACTCGTCGTCTACACTGGTTTTGTCGTCCGTATACCGTCGATGCCTAAATGGTTTGGGTGGATGAGATGGATAAACCCCATCTTCTATGCCTTTGAGATCTTGATGGCGAACGAGTTCCACGGAGTCGAGTTTCCCTGCGATCGTACCATCCCTTCAGGCGCAGGATACACACAGGATGGCGGCAACTTCATCTGCGACGCGCAGGGTGCGATTGCTGGGCAAAACTTTGTCAGCGGCGACAGGTTCATTGCAGCGGCATACCAATACACTTGGAGCCATGTATGGCGTAACTTTGGTAAGTGAAAGTTACTGAACCACATAAATCACACATACTGACTCCACTATTCAGGCATTCTTTGCGCATTCTTGATCTTCTTCATGGTCACTTACTTCGTCGCCGTCGAAGTCAACTCATCCACTACCAACACCGCCGAGCAACTCGTCTTCCGTCGCGGACACGTTCCAGCTCACCTCCAATCCGGCGACAAAGCTTCCGACGAGGAATCTGGCGAGACTAGACAAGGAGGTCAAGACGCTCCGGGTGACATCAGCGCCATCGAAGAGCAAAAGGGTATCTTCACTTGGAGAGATGTCGTCTACGATATTGAGATCAAGGGCGAACCCCGCCGGTTGCTCGACCACGTTTCTGGTTTCGTCAAGCCTGGTACTATGACTGCACTTATGGGTGTCTCGGGTGCTGGAAAGACCACACTTCTCGATGTTCTGGCACAACGGACTACCATGGGTGTCATCACTGGTGACATGTTTGTCAATGGCAAGCCTCTCGATCCTGCGTTTCAACGTTCAACTGGTTATGTCCAGCAACAGTAAGCTTTTGCGATTGTGGTCATTCCTTCGCACACATGCTAACTAGAATAGGGATCTCCATCTCGAAACCTCTACCGTCCGCGAAGCACTACAGTTTTCTGCTATGCTCCGTCAGCCCAAGTCTGTCAGCAAGCAGGAAAAGCACGACTATGTTGAGGAGGTTATTAAGATGCTTAACATGTCCGATTTCGCTGAGGCTGTTGTCGGTGTTCCAGGAGAGGGTCTGAACGTCGAGCAGCGTAAGCTGTTGACGATTGGTGTTGAGCTTGCCGCAAAGCCCAAACTTCTCCTGTTCCTCGACGAACCTACGTCCGGTCTTGACTCACAGGTCAGTACTTCTACCACCACGCTTGGGCAACCTCTTGCTTCTTGAAAGTATCATACGCTAACGTTTGCACAGAGTTCCTGGTCCATCATCTCATTCCTCAAGAGACTCAGCTCCGCCGGACAAGCCATCCTCTGCACGATCCATCAGCCCAGCGCTATCCTCTTCCAAGAATTCGATCGCCTCCTCTTCCTCGCCCGTGGCGGTAAAACTGTCTACTTTGGCGAGCTCGGCGAGAACTCACGCAGGCTCCTGGACTACTTTGAGAACAACGGCGCAAGGCAATGCGGCGAAGACGAGAACCCAGCCGAGTACATGTTGGAAATCGTCAACGCTGGCCAGAACAATAATGGAAAAGATTGGTTCGAAGTCTGGAAGGATAGCGAAGAAGCTCAGGGCGTCCAGCGCGAGATTGACCGACTCCACGAGTCGAAGAAACACGAAGACCTCAATCTGGCCGCGGAAACCGGTGGTGAATTCGCCATGCCACTCACCACGCAAATCGTCGAATGTACTTACCGCGCCTTCCAACAATACTGGCGCATGCCCAGCTACGTCTTTGCCAAGTTTGGTCTGGTCTCCATTGCCGGCCTGTTCATTGGTTTCTCCTTCTGGAAGGCCGACGGCACAAAAGCAGGCATGCAAAACATCATCCTCAGCGTCTTCATGGTCACCACAATCTTCTCGTCGCTCGTACAGCAGATCCAACCCCTCTTCATCACCCAACGCTCTCTGTACGAATCGCGCGAAAGGCCGTCCAAGGCATACAGCTGGTCCGCTTTCATGCTCGCCAACATTGTCGTGGAAATCCCCTACGGTATCGTCGCCGGTATCCTCACCTTCGCCTCGTTCTACTACCCTGTCGTCGGCGCAGGCCAATCCAGCGAACGCCAGGGCCTTGTCCTCTTATTCTTCATCCAGCTCTTGCTTTTCACGTCCACCTTCGCCGCCATGACCATTGCCACTCTTCCCAATGCGGAAACGGCTTCTGGACTCGTCTCCCTACTTACGATCATGAGCATCCTGTTCAACGGTGTGCTGCAGACGCCTAGCCAACTGCCCAAGTTCTGGATGTTCATGTACCGCGTCAGTCCGTTTACCTACTGGGTCGGCGGTATGACGACTTCGATGGTCGGCGGCCGCCCCATTGTCTGCAGCGCGAGTGAAGTCTCGGTCTTGAGCCCCCCGTCTGGACAGACGTGTGGCCAGTACCTAAACGCGTTTGTCAATGCGACTGGTGGCGCGCTGCAGAACCCAGATGCCACGGCCGACTGCCGGTACTGTTCTTACACCAACGCAGACCAGTTCCTGGCTACCGTGTCGCTCTATTACACCGAGAGGTGGCGCAATTTCGGTATCATGTTTGCGTATATCTTCTTCAATATTTTTGTGGCGGTTGCTACTTATTACCTCTTCCGCGTCGCCAATCTCAGTCAGATTGTGGCGTCGTTCAAGAAGTCAAAGAAGTCAAAGGGTGGTAGCAAGGCGGGAGAGGGTGTGGAGATGGCGGCGCAGCAGGGTGCTCATCCGGGGAATAGGAGTGGCGAGAAGGATGCTTGAGCGAATTTTTCGATGTTTTGATACCACGATTTTAGCGATTGGGAAATGGGCGTTTTGGGTTGGTCTTTGCTGCATCGTGTGCGTTTAGCAGGCGTTTTAGACTAGCATTTTCATCCTTTGTATTGTTGTACAAAGATATATAGATATAGTCACCTTATTATGATAATACTTAATACTAGCTACAATCGCCTACCTTCTTCGGCCCTTCTTACTATACCATACCATCACCTTTCGGCCCTTCTACCCTTCCATCCGTTATTCTTCCCGAGGTTCATCCCCAACGTCCAGCATCGGTAGTCTCGCCACCTCGAGCCTTAAAACCCGAATAAGAAAAAAACCTCACCAGCATCTCCCCCGGTCTTCCTTACAAATTCCTTTTACTAGTCATAAGCCCTTGATGCAAGGAAGCGCCGACCCGGTACTACATCATCCCTAACCTTTACCGGTCACAAGGCTTTCCGAATATGTACATCCATCCATCCATCCATCTGCCTAACGTATAGGTAAGGCCCGATCATTCCTTATCCCACGTACGTATACATTCCCCGACCCGATCCTACCCTAACTCCCCGACCAGGATTTCCCCGACCCGCTGTTTACCCACCGTTTACCCACCCAGACTGGCTTTAGCGTTTGCCGGGAAAATCGGATATACCAAGTATGTACGTAGGTATGTAGGGTGTGGAATACTTCCGATTTTCCAGCTTGGGGTTGTTTAGTGGTGGGATGGTAATGTCGGTATGAATGTAGGTGGTAGATTTGAGAGAGACAGAGTTTGTGAAAAGGAAGATGGAAGGGCCCTCGCTATTGAATTTCACAAACGTAATAATCAATAGTCGCGGCCTTGTATCCCGAGCCCAAGCCACCATCACCACCGCACGGTACATACATACTTACGTAGCCAGCACTCGAGAGAGCCGAGAAGGCCCCCTTCCCCAAAAAAGTCCCGACATCAAAGCCGTTTTTCGTCGTCGTCACGAGGGCCGCCATCCATGGGGGGGGGAAAGCAAAATGCGAGAGAAATTTTGCGGGTCCAAGCGTTGGAGACGCCATGTCCGCTTCTAGAAGACGCTAGACCTGGTCAAGGAACGTATCCCGTGTCGTATCCCCAGTTATTGTCACATGGGCAGATCGGATTACTGGGTATGGTTGTTGTGCTCCCCACATGGCCGACAATTGACAGTTAGTGCAAGTTTTGTGATGGGGTTTCCCCGCAAAAAACTAGTTTTGGTCCGGAGATTTGCCGGGCTTGAGAGAGGGATCGTCAGGTCGAGATGGGGGTTTTGTTTTTTGTTTCTTTCACTGTTTGTTCGCTGGACAGTCAGTCGTTGCAATTGAGTTTATGCTTACTGTCGTCGGGATGTTGGAACTGACGCCTAGGATTGTCGTATCGGTGGTAAGCGAACGATCATTACTGACACGACCCACCATGGGAATCTTTCGTGTTTGCGGTTCACGCATAGGGCGAAATGCGCTATTAACAAGGACAAGAGTCGAGGCTGGGGGCCGTGGAGCGCGGTGTTTCTTGCGCTTGTTCGCTTGCGTACCGGTGCATGTGCGTTGTCGTGGGAAACCGACCTCTTTCGGTTACATGAATCATGATGGCAGGTTTTCCGGCGCTGGCTGGCTGGCGCGCGTTTGGCGGCGTGCGGAGAAAGTGCTGGGTCGGTGATGTATGGAAGTATGGGGAATCAATGGTAAGGTAGCTAACTACTTGTGGTTAGCTACCCTTTTAGGTATCTTCCAAGGTCTTTGCCCGACATTTCCGAAGGCATGGTAGCATCAAGCATTCTGGGAATAAGCACCTTTCTCTCCTCAACTATCAATATTCAACGGTCCGTGAAAACATGCATTGATGTCCTAAGTTTACACGCAAATTTGCTATTGATGGGTCGAGTCATGTTATAGACTCAATTATCACGATCAACGATGGTGGTAGCTGGTAGCGCGTCAATGCTTCCGCTCCGACCCTCTCTCAGTCCCGGTCCTGACGTTCTGCCTCTCCACATTGCCATCTGCCGAGGCGCATACAAAGTCGAACCGCCCTCTTGGCGCCCTGTTCACTGCCTTGGAATGACGTCGGCTACGCTAGCAATGGGTAGCAAGGACGGGGCTGGCCTGGGGAGTCTCCGCAACGCCTCCGCAACGTCGTACGGGTAAACCTCGGAATCCCGACGTTGTATGCTTGCTTGCAGGCGTGCATGTGTAGGTGGGCCATGGTTAGTTCGGATGATGAGTTACCGCGGGTACGGACGAGTCTGGGCCGAGTGCTGGGAGGGCAGAGAGCAAGTATATAAGTATTGGCTGAGGACGGTAATGAATTGGATTGTTCAGGCTTTCGGCGAAAACATTCAATCCATTCATTATGGCGCCTTCTGTACTCTCAGCCGTGCTCTCGGGCTCTGCCCTACTGGCTGCTGTTAATGCTCAGAACTTTGCCGGCGGTGACCGCGCTGAAGATGCGTTTGTGTACTACCAACCGCTCAACACTACCATCTTGACCGAGTATGGTTCCTCGCCGCCCGTATATCCGTCACGTAAGTTGTTCCCCAGTTGGTTGACTTTCAGACTTGTCTAACGTTTACTAGCAAAAATCACTGGTGCCGGTGGATGGGAGATGGGTCTTGAGAAGGCGAAAGCTTTCGTAGCCCAACTCACTCTCGAGGAGAAGGCTGATATGGTCACTGGCCAAGCCGGACCCTGCGTTGGAAACATCGTGGCTATCCCTCGTCTTGGTTTCCCTGGCCTGTGTCTTCAAGATGGTCCTCTTGCTATCCGTGTGGCCGATTACGCCAGCGTCTTCTCTGCCGGTGTATCTGCTGGTGCCACATGGGACAAGAAGATCATGTACGAGCGCGGTCACGCCATGGGTGAAGAGTTCAGGGCCAAGGGCTCTCAAATCATGTTGGGCCCCGTGGCTGGACCTCTTGGACGTTCTGCCTATGCAGGCCGAAACTGGGAAGGATTTTCATCCGACCCCTACCTCAGTGGTATTGCCATGGAAGAGACTATCCATGGTGCTCAGGATGCAGGTGTACAAGCTTGCGCAAAGCACTGGATCGGCAATGAGCAGGAGATTCAACGTAACCCTTCTTACAGCACTGGAGTGGACAAGACCGCGCATTCTGCAGCAGCTCTCTCGTCCAACATTGACGACCGCACTATGCATGTTAGTATTCCGAACAAATTCATAATGAACATTGCTAATCTATCATAGGAACTCTACATGTGGCCCTTTGCCAACGCTGTCAAGGCGCGTGCTGCCAGCTTCATGTGCTCATACCAGAGAATCAACGGATCCTACGGATGCCAAAACTCAAAGTCGCAGAACGGTCTTCTCAAGACCGAGCTCGGTTTCCAGGGCTACGTCATGTCTGATTGGGGTGCGACCCACACTGGTGTTGCCGCTATTGAAGCCGGTCTCGACATGAACATGCCTGGAGGACTCGGTGCCTACGGCCAGGGCTTTGGCTTCACTTCCTACTTCGGTGGCAACGTCACTGCTGCTGCCAAGAACGGTAGTCTTGAGATGTCTCGTATCGACGACATGGTTATTCGCATCATGACCCCGTACTTCCAGCTCGGTCAGGACAAGGATTTCCCTAGCATTGACCCTTCGACTGGCGACCTCAACACCTTCTCGCCACCCAGCACCTGGACACGAGAGTACAACCTCACTGGCGAGGCCAGCCGTGATGTTCGTGGTAACCACGGCGAGTTGATCCGCCGCCACGGTGCCGCTGGTACCGTTCTGTTGAAGAACGTCGATCACGCACTTCCTCTCAAGACTCCTCGCAATGTCGCCGTCTTCGGCAACGACGCTAGCGAGCCAGTACGCAGCTCCGTAATCAACCAGCAAAACTATGAATACGGCACCTTGTTCGCTGGCGGTGGCTCAGGTACTGGTCAATTCACCTACATGAAGAGCCCCCTCCGCGCCATCCAGGACCGCGTTACTGCTGACGGCGGCATCGTCCAATCCTTCCTCAACAACACTCACATTGCTACCAACAACGTCAGCACGCTCGTTATTCCCAAGCGTCAGCCCGACGTCTGCATCGTCATGCTCAAGACCTGGGCCGAAGAAGGTAACGATCGCGCTCACTTGGGATCCGACTGGGACGGCGACAAAGTCGTTACCTCCGTCGCCGCCTTCTGCAACAACACCGTTGTCGTCACCCACTCAGCCGGTATCAACACACTCAACTGGTCTGACCACCCTAACATCACCGCCATCGTGGCCGCTCACTTCCCTGGCCAAGAATCCGGCAACTCCCTCGTAGACATCCTCTACGGCCACGTCAACCCCTCCGGTCACCTCCCCTACACTATTGCCATGAACGGAAATGACTACAACGCGCCCCCTACCACCAACATCAACACGACTGGCTTCTACGACTGGCAATCCTGGTTCGACGAGAAGCTTGAGATTGACTACCGTCACTTCGACATGCACAACATCTCCGTTCGCTACGAGTTCGGTTTTGGTCTCTCATACACCACCTTCGATATCAAGGACATCAGCGCCGAGGCCTCCGCCAGCGACATCACCTCCATGCCCGAGCAACTTCCCATCCAGCCCGGTGGTAACCCCGCTCTCTGGGAGACCCTCTACAACGTCACCGTCACCGTTTCGAACACTGGCGACGTTGCCGGTGCCGCCGTACCCCAGCTCTACGTCGGTCTTCCTTCTTCCGCCCCTGCTGGAACGCCCGTGCGCCAGCTTCGCGGCTTCGAGAAGGTGTACCTTGAGAAGGGTGAGAGCCAGAGCGTCAGCTTTGAGCTTATGAGGCGTGATTTGAGCTACTGGGACATCGTTTCCCAGCAGTGGGTCATCCCTGAGGGAGAGTTCACCGTCTGGGTCGGACACAGCAGTCGCGACTTGAAGGTTACGAAGAGCTTTACTGTTGTGCAGTAAAATGATTTGCCAAGAGGCAAGGACTGCATTAGTTTGATGATTTCATGAATAGATATTAATATAATATTACATCAACAAGATTTTGTGTTTTCGTCTGGGACAAAGGTGCTGTGACTTGCTGCTTAAGAGAGAAATGCATATATGCCGAATTTTGCCTGGGTTACCCAAAACATTCAATACTTTCGTCAATCTTAGAATGGGAACCAGCTGCAAGATCAGTATAGTCGACTAAAGGCATATACCGCAGAGCGTTTGATGGCCTGCTCGGGGTAGCATCTGATCAGTAGTTACCCGTATAGAAGTGAACCGTGTTCGACAAACGTAAGACTCTCGATCGGGCTGTGAAGCTCGTAGCGATATCCATCCGGTTCATACGTTTAGTATGAGTGTATCTCATATCTGAGTTCGCGCTGCATCTTAGAGACGGATGACTACTGTTGGGCATGCAGATCAGGCGTGACGAACGGGATGTTGATAATCCTGCCGAGTGATGAGGATGCGGCAGAGCGTTGGGTGGAGAAGGCGCGTATTTTAGTTCTGACGCTAGCGCTTGCGTGAACGACAGGGGCCTGCTCTTGCCGTCTTCTATTACCCACAACCCCTCAATACCGTCGAGATATCGCTACAATATCTGGTAGAACGACTAACTATCGCGACTTTTGATTCAGCTCAAGAGTCGCGCTAAAAACAGATGCCAACCTTGTCTCTCTTGGAAGTTTGCGCAGTCAAAGTGAGCCCTTGCGACCATCATCCTTCGAATATGACAGGGGTGGGTGTTCAGCCGGGCGGCAACTCCCGGCCCTTCTTCATCACTCCACAGAAAACGAATTCCCGAGCGCTTAGAGTTGGACTTTAACGTGGTTATGCCCTTGAAAGAATGTCATGCGCCGCATGTGGAGCACGGTTTGAAATAGAAGCAGCACGGAGATGGTGATTAACTGTGCCACGAGCGGAATGTGCTGATCCTTTATAAGGGACCGCGCCACAAGCATGATGGCGCCATTTTCCTCTTAAAGCCGGTACGCTGTCTTTCATGTCGTGTCGATGAGTATCTCTTTTCTTTAGAAAGCAGCGGTCTCTATACCTTCAGTTTTCATATCATAATGAAATCCTCAGCCAAAACACCATCCAGTGGCCTGGCTTGGGCGACAACGCCGTTTGCGATCTTTTCCTATTTTTCCAAGACCACGAGAGGTCGATTCTTGCTGTGCATCATTATTTTCTGGCCTATGCTGTCGCTTGTACACCACACATCTTTGAATGACCACATACTCTCCTGGCCATATACACCAACTGATACCCCTTACCACCCCATTGAACAACTCATTCAAAAGGCTAAGGCTGATTTTGGACGCCTAGTCGCGCGGCAGTCCAAAACACTCCAGACCGCCGAGGCAGAGTACCGCAGGCGATACTCCCGAGAACCACCTCCAGGCTTCGACAAATGGTTCCTCTACGCACAGTCTAAGCAGTCCATTTTTATCGATGAGTTCGACATGATCAACGAAGATCTGAAGCCGTTCTGGAAGGTCACTCCACAGCGCTTACTCGAGAGCGTCAACCATGTGACGAGTGTTGAAGAACTTGCTCTGCGCAAGTGCGGCTTTACCAACGGGCAATACCACGGTCAAGGTGGGGGTTGGATTGTTGAAGATCTTGGAAAACTTCTTGCAGAAGTATCATCCGATCTCCCTGACGTGGAGTTCGCTTTTGATGTCGTGGACGAGCCCAGGGTTGTTATCACGCAAAAAAAGCTCGATGCGGGCGGTATATCAAAACCAGGGTTTCAAGACGCACAACACAAGTCCATATGGGATCGTATCACGAGCTCCTGTTCACCCGGCTCTACCATCAATTACAAGCCTGCTGTTCACGACTACGGTCTTCCGTTCGTACAAGATTGGTACCACGCAAAGGATGTTTGCGTGCACCCTGAGTTTGCACTCGAACATGGTTTCTTCTCTTCGCCCATGACCTGCCTACTTACAGATGCTCCTATACCCGTCCTTTCCCAGGCAGCACCCACATCGTTCGGCGACATCATGTACCCGAGCCCGTGGTACACCGCTAAAATGAACCAAGGGGTCTATAAGGACGAGGAAGACCCCTCTTGGGAACAGAAGGCCAACACGCTATACTGGGCCGGTAGCACAACAGGTAGCTACAGCTGGAACAGTAGTTGGGAACATTCACACCGCCAACGCTTCGTCAAGCTAGTGCAAACGCTCAACCAAACCAACCACCTGTACCTCAAACAACTCCACCGCGGAAGATGGGCAAGCTACAAAGCCATCGAAGACCATAGCGAATTATTCGACGTCAAACTCACCGCTATAATACAATGCGACAGCGCCGACTGCGAAGAGCAAAACCAATTCTTCACTCTCGGCGAGAAAGAAGACCGAAGCCAACAATTCCACTCCAAATTCGTCTTCGACACCGACGGCAACTCGTTCAGCGGCCGCTTCTACACGCTCCTGCAATCACGCAGCGTTGTGCTCAAGCAAACTGTCTTGCGCGAGTGGCATGATGAGCGGCTTATACCATGGGTGCATTACATTCCTGTGAGCTTGTCCATGGAGGAGTTACCGGAGATTATGCGGTATTTGACGAGGCATGAAGATGGGATGCGGAGGGCGAAGGAAATTGCAGACGCGAGTCGAGAGTGGCATGGGCGGGTGTTGAGGAGAGAGGATTTCACGATATATTTGTATCGGCTTATGCTTGAGTTGGCTAGAGTGATGGATCCGGGAAGGGAGGTGGAGGGGTAGGCGGATTATTAGCTATCAAGACTTTCCGAGAACATGTATATTTATGGCTATAGTGACATTTAACCCATGTTAATTAACTCTACAAGGCATTTCGCTTTGTGTTATATCTCTTCTGTTAATCTCACCCGCTAGCAGCTTAGGGATAATTGTTTCCGTTCTCTTGACCACAATCGAACTGCTTTCAACCGCCACCTCGCCTTCACTCTGGATGAATTTCTAGAGATACTTAGCATGTGTATTTTTAGGTACCCCATGTGTGTGCACGAACAGTGTGTTTGCGATGTTTTGGCCAAAGGCTACGACGAATCGAGCCCGTGTTAAAATTAAGCTGCGGGCCGTCTCATCGTGCATATACGAATTTGAAACTCTATGCAGTATTCCACAGGTCGTCTAACACGTGCATATACGAGTGTGGATCTCTATGGAGTACGCAGGTTGTATGATACGTGCATGTACGAGTCTAGACTTCTGTGCAGTAATCCGCAGGTCGTCTAATACTTGTACATACAAGTCTGGACCTCTGTGCAATAATCTTCCGGCCATTCAGCCAACTTTTATGATTTTTTAGTTTTATTAAGGTGGGTTCTATGTCTCAAAACGTTGACTCTGTATTTGCAGAGGCAGTTGCCTACCAATCAGCGCTCGAATGTCAAGACGAAGATATAAAGATCATAAAGGGGAATCGAGCGGTGGCTGGATTGGTGGATTCTCGGAGAGCCAACTTTCATCCGCTCGTGTCATTCAACCTCCGCCTGCTTGCCCTCGACGGCGGCGGCGTGCGCGGCCTGTCCGCCTTGATGATCCTCGAACAGCGTCGATGCACCAATGAGGCGTTGCAAAGGTACGAGGAGGCACTAGGATCAGAAGACATATTGACTTTGGAGACGATGGGCTGTCTGGGCATGATTTACGTCAACCAAGGCATGCTGACGGAGGCGGAGTGTACGATCAAGAGAGCAGCTGAGGGGTTGAGCGAGATGCTAGCACCGAAGTCTGCACCAGTATTGCGGGTGGGTGGTATTCTAAGCATGTTGTATAATAAACAGGGCAATTTGGGGGACGCAGAATATTCTTTTAAGCAAGTATCGCAAAGGATGGAGGAGACACTTGGGCCTAAGCACGTGTCAACGTTGTTGGCATCCAACAACTTGGGTATTCTTTACAAGAATTAAGACAGGCTAATGGAAGCGGATCGCATGCTCAAGTCGGCATTACGAGAGAAGGAGGTCATACTGGGCCCTTATCACCCTTCAAAATTGCAGACTGTTAGCAACATGGATGTGGTTTACTTTAAGCTAGGCAATTATTTCCGTTCTCAGGACCCCAACCCAATTGTAGGACCGCAGATCTTTTACGCTCCGCCTCGCCTTCACTCACTCCAGAAACTTAATTGAGAATCACTCAGCCCGTGCATTTCATACTTCGTCGCTCCATATATCCAGACGCAGCGCTGCTGCCAGCCCATTTACTAATTCCCTCGTATCGTGCAAGTCGCCTGTATACCCATAGTATATGTGCATACTCATCATAGCCTCCCATGTATCGTGGAATATTTCGATAGTCGATTTATTATAGTCAGGTATGAGGCCTAACGCTTCGGTTTCTTCAGGATCGATGAGTGAGAGTAGCGCGTAGAGGCCATCTCGGCTGTCTGAACATTCCATGGAGGGTCCAAAAGCGATCAGTACACCGCCCATATTACCCTTTCTGCTGGAACGTTTGCTAGCCGTATGGCGCTTTACGTAATTCAAGAATCTCATGACTGCTTTTGACAAGATTTCCTCATCGCGACGACGGTCTGGATCACTCCATGAGCAATCTTCGTGCGGGTTTTCTGAGTAATATGCAGTTTCAAGAAGCCATTTCAGTACCTCTTCGTCCATAGCTTGTGAGCCACACCAGATCATAACACATTTTGCCAGAGTAAATTCTTGGATCGCCCACACCCGAGTCCAGTATTTTCGCTCACATATATCGCGTATCGCGCTTGCGCAGTCTTCATCTAGTTACCCTGCTGGCTTATTTATCCACATTTTGATGAAGTAAAGGTATGTTGTGTTCATCAGTTGCCAGCTTTTTTCCAAAGTTGGCGTTACGCGCCCAAGCCAGACGATGACATAGTTAGCCCCTGAGTAGATCCTACCCATCATGGAGACTTGGTGATTGCGTTCTTTGACTTGGCTCTGATCGATGCATAGAGCATCGACCCATAGCATGGTTGTAAGATTATGCGATCTGGCTTGGACGAGGAAATCCCATAGATTTTGGCGTACTCGAAAAGGCCTCCCGTTGAGCATGATCATTCTTGTCGGACTCGGTTCGCCCCAGGTGTAGGATAGCGCGATATATTGAGGGGGTTCCTCCATGGCCCTTACATGGAGATTGCAGTAGACCTCATCATTTGGGTCTGAACATGGCTCAATCGTCAGAAGGCGGAAGTTGGTACTGCTTCCGAACGACAGCGGCACCTCATCGTAAGTGATTTTCGTAGTGTTCGCCATTATTGCCTTAGCATGCGATGTTTTGGAGGCTTGATATACGGAAATCAGGAGGGAAAGTGCGGAAGTTTGTGTTGTGCTCTCGTGAGGAAGGCTGGAACGTTTCTGCCTACTCACCGAAAAGCCACATGATCCTCGGTAAACATGCGCAGCCCGCTTGCGCCTCAAAAAGCGAGTAGCTGGGACGCCTCACCGTTCATTGAAAAAGACCTGCGTTCTGATATCGGCAAGGTTTGGTAGTACAAGAGAAATCGATTTTCGCTGCCTGTGGCGCAGTGCCATGGATGTTACCGGTCAGCCTAGTAAGGCCGCCTCGATAGTGAGTATTACATGTGACCTTCGCAGGCACCTGGCAATGAGTCCTTAGACATCATTTCTTGACTGTATTTTCTTTCTTTTGAAGAGAGAGGGCTTAAGTTTGTAGTTTGGATCGAAAAGTAACGCGATCAAAAAGATTGTCCGAAGGTAGTTTGGCGGAGGATACCCAGCACTGAGATCGATGCATGCTTACCAAAGACGTAGGCCATTGCAGTTCAGTCCGACTTATTTCCAGCTCCTCTCCCCTACGCAATCCTGCAGTCTGCCACAACGTTGAGAACGATGTTGCGAACCCCTCAGCACCCACTTCGCCTCCACCACCTTCCTAACCCCGCCTAGCGCCCCTCATACGAAAATGGAGGAGTTGTCGACCACAACCCTATCTTGACTGACATCACCAAACAGTCGTGTTATCAATCTCGTATTGGATGCCTATCACTCTTGGCTCTCCCTCTTAAACGAAAGATCCCGCCATGCCAGTTCGATGCGGGACAGAGATCTGGAGGTGTTCGGGCGCGCATATCTGAGCAGGGTTCGCGATAAGACACTGCATGAATGGCGGACCAGCAGAAGTGATGTATGGTTGATATCTAGCGATCTGCATCGGATAGGCCATGATAGGTAATGTTTCAAAGTCGGTTATGAGGTCGGGATGCAGTCCGCATGCCTGTATGGGTGAGGCGGCACGGCATCTGTGACGATGATTGCACGCAGTGACGATACTTATATCAACGGCACGGTAGGGAACTACAGCGAGTATCTTCCTGTTTCTGGCTCTAAATCGCACACCATGAGCGTACCTGAGAAGTATATTATCAAATCGGGAGACACTTCTCCGTCGCCACAAAACTCGGATATCGAGATTGGCACTGTCGAAGAACCTACTAGCAACGGAGATGAAGCACTGAACTTTCTCAAGAATGCACACGACGTGGGCGAACTTACGCCAGAGGGCGAAAGAAGGTTACTACGAAAGATTGATTGGATGATAATGCCGTTGATGTGGTGCTGTTACTGCTTGCAGTATCTGGACAAAACATTGGGTACGCGAACACAAATTTAGTTCACTCTCATGCGCACCCATATCCATATCAGATGAGAAGCTCTAATACTTCATAGTCAACTACGCAGCAGTCATGGGTCTCTATGACGACGCAAACATAACCACCGACCAGTTTTCCAACCTCGCCCTCTTCTTCTACGTCTCCTACCTTATCGTAGAGTTCCCTCACGGCTACGGCATGCAACGTTTTCCCACAGCCAAGTACCTCGGAACAGCTGTAATTTTCTGGGGCTTGATAACAGCTCTGACCTGCGTCTGCAAAAACTATGGCGCCTTGGTAGCAACTCGAGTGCTACTGGGTTGCTTTGAATCGGCCGTAGCACCGAGCTTGATTCTGATAACGTCCATGTGGTACAAGAAAAATGAACAACCGCTACGCACTGGTATCTGGTATCTAGGTACTGGTACAGGAACGATGATCGGAAGTTTGATTAGTTTTGGGTTCCAGCATTACAGCAGTGATACGTTCACCAGCTGGCAAATCATGTTTCTCGTCGTTGGTGTCGTTACAATAGCTGTCGGCATAACTGGTGAGATTTGTCGGATTTTCTCTTACCAGTTCAACCATACTAACACTCTCTCAGTCTTATTCGTCCTCCCCGATAACCCCATGTCCTCGCGCCTGACGCCATCCGAAAAAGTGTGGGCCATCGAGCGCCTCCGCGAGAACCAGACTGGAATTGAAAACACACACTTCAAATTCTATCAAGTGGTCGAATGCTTTAAAGACCCGCAGACGTGGATGCTATCTCTCATCACTATATCATCAAATGTGCCCAACGGCGCTGTATCCTCGTTTCAGTCGACGCTCATCAAGTCCTTTGGCTTTGACTCCAAAACCACAGCTCTCCTACAATTACCTTCAGGCTGCGTCAGTATCATCTCAATCCTCATCGCAACATACCTAGCCGGCCGCTTTGACCAACGCGGCCTGAACGTCGTGTCCCTCTTAATCCCCGGCGCCCTCGGCGGTTGCCTCATGGCCTTCCTCCCCGGCGACGCCAAAGCCGGAAAGCTAATCGGAAACTACCTCACCAACTGCATCGGCGCCAGTTTACCTCTACTCTACTCATGGGTCGCAGCCAACATCGCTGGCCACACGAAGAAAGTCACTATGAACGCTATACTGCTCATGTCATTTTGTCTAGGTAATATCATCGGTCCGTTGACGTTTAGGCAAGAGGATAAACCGGAGTTTATCCCTGCTAAGATTACTATCGTTGTCACGTGTGCGTTTGCGGCGGGTATGGCGATACTGCTGCGCGCGTATTATACGTGGGAGAATAAGAAGAGGGATAGAGAAGAGACGGTGGGGCATTTGGAGAATGAGGAGTTTTTGGATTTGACGGATCGTGAAAATAGGAGGTTTAGGTACCGTTTGTAGGTGGCTCGTCGTAGACGCGTGTTTGAAGAGGACATCGCAATGTACATAAGGCATATCTTGCTACATATCTACACACAAGAAGAAAGAGAAATAAAATCGCGGACCCCCTATGGCGTCCCCGCTCCACCCCTTAGCTCATTGATGATGATATCCGCCGCCTTCTCCCCAATCACCAACGCCGTATTATTCGTATTGCCACCCACATTCTCCGGTGGGATACTGAGATCGGCAATCTTCAACCCAGTCACACCATATACATTCAACTTGCCGTCCACAACACCATCCTTCTCCCGCTCCGCCATCTTGCACGTACCAAGCGAATGCCAAGTCGTCTGCACATTCTCCCTAATCCACTGTTCAATCGCCTTATCATCCTCTTCATTGTACACAATATCCTTTGCATCCTTTGCTACAGGGCCCGCAACTTCCTCCTGCACCGCTGCGGGCGAGTCTTTAGCGAACTTGGGGTGTCCAGCCGCTAACTCACCGCGGAAGTAGTTTGTCCGCCGCAGAATCTCGCGCTGCTTCTTGTACGCCCACATATGCTTCTTGAGGTCGATGTCGTGCTTGTCTGTGAAGAATCCGACGTCGAAATCAAGCGGGTCGTCGTGCTTGGGGCCTGTGATGTGCATGTGGCCACGCGAGTACGGGTACGCGGTATACATGCCTGATGTCACGTACTGGCCCTCTGGTATACTGGCCGGGTCACCCAAAAAGCAGCTCACAACACCGCACAGCATAAGCGGTCTGTTTGGTTTGTCGGCGAAATCGCGGTCCCACGCAGCCTGGAACTCTGGGCCCAAGGCGGCGATTTCGGGGACCGTGGGACGGATCTTGGAGCAAATGTCGATGGCGTTCCAGCCGAGCATGGGGTCTTTGCGTGCTAGCATGCCGGGCACATCGGCGCGGCCCGAGAGAATGGCGTCGATTGTTTGGGTGGTATCTAGGGAGGTTTTGTAGGGGCACAGAACCAGGTGGTGGTCTTGATAGTCTTTCCCTACACCGGGGAGATCTTCGACGACGGGCACGCCGGCGCGGTCCAGGATATCTTTTGGACCTACGCCTGAGCGCTCGAGCACGGGGGGTGTACCGCATGCGCCACATGTAACGACGACTAATTTGCGAGCTTTTACCGTCTTCACGGGGTGCATGGTTAGGCCGATAGTGGCTTGGAACTCGGGGTTTGGTGTGTACTCCACGCCACAAGCGCGTTTCTTGTCGTCAAAGAGGACGCGGACGACTTTTGATTCGACGAGCACATGGAGGTTGGAGTATTTTTGTTCATCTTCTAGCTTGGGGTGCAGGTACCGGTGGGCTGTATCCTGGCGTTTGCCGTCTGGGGAGACGTAGCGGAGCCATCGTTGGAGACCGTCGTTTTCATCGAGGGTTTGGAGATCTTCAATCTCGCGAATACCCATATCTCCGGCTGCGCGGATGAAGTCGTCTTCTGCTGCTTTGGCCCGGTAGCCGCCATCGGATATATGGATGGGCCCGTCGTATCCGTGGTGTTCCTTGTTTCCAGGGCCGTGGTATGTTTCCAGTCGCTTTAGGAATGGCCACATTTCATCTGCTGACCAGCCGGGTGTGTTCCAAGAGTCAAAGTCTGAGCGTTGTGCTCGTGTGTACATCATGAAGTTGATTGAACTACCCCCTCCAAGTGTGCCACCGGATGGAACGATGGACTCCCGATCCGCGAGTTGCTTGGACTTGTTGCTCTTGTAGAACAAGGCGGTCTTAGTGGTGGGGAGTAGATTCTGTAGGTAGAAGACGGGGTTGACGATGTGTGCAACATCCTTGTTGTTTGCACCACCTTCAATTACGAGGATGGATAAGGATGGGTCTTCTTCTGCCAGACGACCGGCTATTATGCATCCTGCAGTTCCGCCTAGAGAAGGGTAAAATATCAGTACGGCAGCGAAATTTTGCAAGAAAAGGGGACGGACCTCCAGCGATGATGATATCAACCTCATTGATATCATCTGCGAGCTTGTTGTAGATACCCATGACGATGTTTGTACAGATTCACGGGCAGTTTGAAAATTGTCAAGATGGCAGAAGGCAGTAAGCACGGAGACTGGCGGAGTATATAACTAATTCCACTGCCAATGGCTTGATTTTAGCCCCCACGAAACAAACTTCACGAATTTGGCCCCCTGCACAGGAATTCGTACAAAGAATCTCTGTCCCCGCAGTTCGGGTATCAGACCATCCTATTCTCTGCCTTTTACAGCATGGTGTAGTTTACAAGCGGAAACGCTGCACAGCCCAGTCCAGGCAAGTCGCATCTAGAATGCGAAGCTAGACACGCCAGAAGGTGACTAGTGGTTATGCGGGTCCGAAAATCTGCCACGTCGGCCACTCACGTTCGTCCTGTTCGTCGCTGAAAAGTTTGTTAGTTCATCAGCTGTCAGTTTCCCCGCATTGTCGTGAGGCCGATCACTTGCGGCTGTCCGAAAAGCGCGGGTCAGATACCTCGGAACGTGAGCACGCAGGAGAGGCATGATTGCACTTTGAATTTGGAAACGACAGCGGATGTCGAGCTTTGGAAGACCCACTGAAGATGATGCGCTTAATCAGCCCTCGATCCTTGCCTACCCTGCATTAGGTGCTTAGGTAACCCTGCTTAGCTTCACACCAAAAGCACATGATACAGATACAGAACGCTTGGAAGCGGCATTCGAGATTAACTGTAAGATTTCATCCAGGCCTAGTGCCGGTCCTATCGCCTAACCTAGCACGTCTGCTTCCGTTGCGCTTTAGGTTGATACGCGTACCCATCATGTCCATATCCTGACTAACCGCCAGTCAGCTCGAACGCGACTGCGGTCGCCTAGATCAAAGCCAGGCACTGAAAGTAAAGCACGTAAGTATACTGCAGATATACAGCACACGAGACATGCAAGAGATATCCCATTTATTTCACATCAGGTGGTCTACCGCGAACCTTTACACGCAGCCATCTGTGAGAGCGACTGGATGGTCGGCCTAAAACAGTCGATCCAGACCCATATCGAGGATGTTCTGAAACTCGACACGACGCTTGCCTGCGGTGCTACGCTTGTTTGGCCTTGCATCAGCGGGAATGTAGTGCTCATGAATCAGGATAGTAGCAGGCAGCGTGTGGAAAGGTGCTAGAGTGTCCAGCATGAGGCTGACACTCTCGTCGTCATGAGCGGAGTCGTGCCTAGATGTGAGCATGAGGTTAGGAAATATGTTAGTAAAAGTAGAAGCAGAGGCGGCTTACCAGTGGATGACAACCTCTTTCAGATCTGGGGCCATGAGGAGAATGCGATGCACAAAGCTTGAGCGCTGGCCAAGAAGAGCAGGAAATATGGCGCCGACACAGCCCGCCGTATCAGCACGGATCCAGGTGGAGTCCCAGACAAATGTCACTTCGACCTTGCGGATGTTCTTCATGGGTGAGAAAGCTGCGTCGGTGATCTGGCTGAAGGTTTCCTCGAAGAATGAAGTATGGGCGAAGCTACCAGTGGCATCGATGCGCAGAGTCGCCACATCATAAAACCAATTCTTGGCCTCGTTGTTCAATTCCTGGCACGTCAAGAGAAGCTCGACGGGTGGTGGACATTGAGTCAGCCGCATAAACTTGGGGACGTGGCGCCACTTGCGATGTGGTCTGATGACAGTTCCTTGAGGAGGAGGTTGGGCTGGGGTGGTCGCAGCATCTGTACCACCATCCTCTTCATTCATGTCTTCGTCCTCGTCTTGGTCGACATCAACCTGCATATCTTCAACGTTTGCGCTGTTATCTTGGCCTGTTACCTCCTCGGCCTCTTTCTCAAGCTCATCTGCAGCCTGTACATTTGCGGTTGTCTGTTCAATAGTTTCCACCTGGGCCGGGTCTGAGGAGAGAAAATGGAAAGTGATTGTCGAGGGCAGAATTTGGTGTGTGCCATCGATGGTCGCGTTCTCTTCCTCTTCTTCGGCTTCGGGGTAATCTCCATATACTAAGAGGTCGGCTTCGGCTTCCTCGTCATCTTCATCATGGAATTCCTGCTCTGCCTCGTCACTGTCTTCATCCTCGTCCTCATTAAGCTGCATCATAAAATCTTCCATGTCGTCGTCTTCGTCTTCGTCGTCCTCATCATCTTCATCTTCAAACTCGCTGTCCAACGCGTGGAAATAAACCTCGTACTCTTCGTGGTCGCTATACACGGCTTGCGGTGTAGGTGCATTTGGGTTGTTGGTCATTTCCTGGGCGATGAGCGCCTTTACCTCCTTCTTCTCAAGCCAGTAGCGAAGCAGCTTGCGGGGCTCAACGTCGCGCGCAGCTACATACTTGAAGATGGCGTGTCGCACCTCCAACGGCAGGTCCATAAGGATGGGCGCAATCTTGTCGGCCATGGCGGGCGACTGGCTGCGGTTGAGTGGCGGAGAGAGAGAGAGAGTTGAACTGACAAGTAGAGGGGTTCGTGTTACAAAAGTACCGAATACCCAGTGAGGTAAAGGGTCAAGGCAAGTTGCGCTTCTGTTGCCTGCGAGGGCGGCACAGCGGGGCTACAAGCGGTTGTGTAGCCAGGAAATTGTGGGGCTGACGATGGGAGTGAGTGAAGAGTAGGTCGGAACACGGAGAAGCGCGAGACTTCTATTCCAGTCTTTGCCTCTGCTCCATGTCTCTGTCTCTGCTAATGCTAATTGCTGGTGGTGCCTCCACCAGTCGCGGTGAGTCGCGCCTTCCCCACGTTTCGGGTCGACCCGCTGCGCTCCACATCTGATTGGTCCTTTGCAAGGCAGGTACGGTTCCACCCACAGCGCACTGTCCCTGCTCGCCTTTCTTCATTGCTTCTCTTGGCCTTGTTCGTTTAAACCGTGGTTAACCTAGACGTATTTTATAATTTAAAATTACTATTGCCTCATTTCTAGTTGCTCCCAAGGTCTTAAGCGTAATAGAAATACCCTGATCACCCACAGCAGACTGTCCCTGCCCGAAATTTTCATTATTGCGCCCTCAATCCCCATTTGGCTGGTTCTGCGCCAGCTGATGAGTACGAAGCAGATATCGGTTTTCTTGTTTCCGTGCGGCTCGCACATGGATATCAGTAGGCTTGGTTGTCTGAACGTCTCAAGGTACAGTCGACCTTACAGCGAGGCACCTCCCCAAAACTACCGCATCCAAAAGTCCTCAAATGATTACATCGACGCAGAAAATTTGCGATCGAAGAGAACCCCTAGCCTGAAGGTCTCAATGTGTCCATAGGAGTTCTCCGGCACCGCACACACGGCAGCCTGGCACTACAACCAAAGTTTCCCATTACCTCAGCACACCCCCTTAGGGAACAAGTATGGCGTGCATGCTCATTTTGAGATCAGTTCGGGCTGCTATAGGCCCCGTAGTAGTAGCCTGAAGGTCTTCTGGCTCGTGTCTCATAGTACGGTCAACCTCCACAAAGTACCATGCAGACTTGATAAATCTAGAAGTCTTGTTATAATTATTCTATCATTACAAATAGAACCAAGTACATAGGGGTAGTAGCTCAAGGACAACGAAACAAAGCCGGTACTATCCTTAATCGGTATCCACCATACGTAAAACTAGAGAAGTTTTATTGTAATGCAATTTCCTGAGTGGTCATGAGCGGGTGCTAGCTGCAATGACCCAGTTGAATTATGTGAGCATATAAAGGGCAGTAGGATGCGCCAAATCTTCTTCACTCAACAGCTTTGCATCCTAGATCAAACTCAGTCCACACTATGCATCTATTCAACACCATGCATATCTACATCAGTGCAATTGCTGGATTGATCGCCATTGCCGCCGCTGCTCCCCCTTATCTTGTCCTCACACTTACCGAGACCATCACTATATCCAGATGCGTCGTATGGGGCCCACTACCTCCTCAGGTCACATACACGACTGAATACACATACAATCCACCTGACATAGTCACGACCGTATTCACAAACAATCCAATTCAGAGAGTCACTGTGACATCTTGCTCATGGCAAGCAAAACGGTCAGAGGCATCCACCGTAACCTCGACCCTATACACAGATCGTCCAACGCAGACAGTCACCGACGAGGTTTCATCTATCACGTCCCCGCCCGCGGAAATCATGTCTGTTCATCCCGTTTCGACTGAGCCCGCAATCATGGCTCCCATGCCGACTGTCGCGGAAACCTACCCGTTCACCTTCACGCTCAGCAAGCGTCATACCGCTGTCGTCAACGAAACGCAGTCCCTGATTGCTTCTACCTTCATCACGAACAACCAGACCAAGACTGTTTCTCCGTTTTTTACAACGACCGTAAAGGCCAAAACCTTTACGAACGACATCATGACACTGTCGGTCGATCTCACCGACCCATTTTCGGTTTACAAGAATCCTACGCCGACCAAGACCCCAGACCTCGCACGCCGTGAGGAATATGGCGGAAACCACAGGATCGTCTGGGGCAATAGCGATTGCGTTGCTTGTCTCGATTGGACAGAATGCATCAGGTGCAGCGGAACATGCGCAAACTGCGTCAACCTTTTCTGCCGAGATCCTTTTGGTGGAGATCCCATGTGTGTCAGTCTGGAGCGCCTTTATGAAACAGTCACTGGTTCCGATTACAATCTCACATTTCATGACTTCGTTGGCTATACCGAAGAATATACTCGAGATTAGCGGGTGATGATGTGAAGATTCTGGGGTTTCGGAGTATGGAGTTTGGTGGGTTCATTACCGTATTACAAAGAAAATTATTTCCTTCATGAGCTTTTTACCTTAGCCCGTCTCATTGTTGGCATTATAATATCAGTCAAACTCATGTTGTGCTTTCGACTTATGTGTACCTGTTGCTAATCACGCACCCCACGCTTTCCCTTTTTCCATGCCGTCATCAGAATTTTGTACTTATTCCTAATGTGTTTGCTACCATTAATCCGACTAAATGTGCGTATTGTGATCGAGTTGAAATTCAAGGGTAACGAGTGTTTCGACGGGCAATTGGTCCAGAGTGAAGCTGAGGAACTTAATTTTAATTATAGCGAGTAGACATTAGACTCGCCTCCTTACATACCCCTGGTTATCCGCATTTAGCTAATTATCGGACGTCTTTCCTTGAAATAAACAGCTACTACAGTACATCGCCAAACATCATGCGCTCAATTGGAACAAATGGAATAATAAATCAACTCAGCCCATCTTCTTAACCAAGCCTCCCAAATTGACACTAAGGCTGAAACTTAATTTCACGCCTTTGGCCCGCGCTGATAGCTCGTGGCTATGTTCACTCCACTCCCTCCGCAGCTTCGCTCTTTGTTTGAGAACCAATGGTCTTCTAGGAAGGCTCGCTGATTTTTTGCCATCTTCAAACGACAGGAACTTCTTCTGCACAGCTTCCGTATCTTTCAAAATTGGCTCAGCCATATCCTGAACGCCCACAGCTTGATGAGGTGGTACGTTCTCGGAGAAGAGTCTGCCGCTTTTGGAGTGACAAATGAAGCACTGATACCGATATGGATGCATCACAAAGTTTTGGATATCCGCCGCGGTCTTCTGCTTGATCAACGTAAGGACAGCCTTGTAATACCGTAAGTCCCACACCGCAGCGTTCTTTTCCGTGACCAGAAGGAAATTATCACCAGCGCCCAGTGCTACCAGTCGCGGCCGATCAATCCAATTTCCATCTCTTATAGTATTCTTCAGCGCTGCCACCAAAGGCTCTGGGAGATTGTTCCAAAGATACGACGTTTTATCGTGAACGAAGAAGGAAGCATTATATGGCCCTAGAGTGCATCGTATGTTCGGCACATCGCGATTGCGGCTGTACAAAAATTCGATCAACTCTGGCGGCAACCCAGAAGCGTCTATGCGATCTTTTCCAGTGGTATCACGCCATGTGAGTAGGAAACTCTCTTCAAACCCGAGAGTCACATGGTGCACCTGTTTTAGTTGGCCTGAGCTAAGGAATTTCCCCAGCTTCTTCGGAATCCGCGTACTACATGATGGTTAGCACTAATCCAAACGTAAGAGGAACTGGGTGCTGCTGTACTGTTCTCTTTTGGATGGACACTGGAAGAAGTGGCTGCCCCGCTGTCCAAACGTCAAAGTGGAATCGCACATGATGTCCGCTCAAAGCTTCCGCCGCCAAAACCTCGGGAACCCGCTAAGCGAAAAGAAGAAACCGCGCGTTCCAGAACAGGAGAGCAGGTAGTAAGGCGGTGAGGGTAAAAAGAGCGCAAAAAGCGAAAATCAGTGGAGTCTTTGTCTTATAAACCTACTGAACGAAGAATAATCATTGTAATGATCATGCTTATCGTTGTCTAGGTAAACAAGAACCCCGCCAGCCAGCCCGTCCGCCCACCAACCTCCGCCAAGCAACGATCGCCCGCAGGGTTGCAAACAAGTTAGCAACGGCCGCCCGGCGCATGAAAATAAGTGCGTTGGCAACGGCGGCGTCTCAGCGCCGTTTGAGCCAGACCAAAATCTAAACAAACAACAACCAACGAAAAACCTCGAGAATCGTCATTTGTTGTTTTAGGAAAAAGGGTAAGGTTACACGCCACCACGGTTTAGCCATGTATAGTTTGGCAGGTTGAACTGACACATGTTACAGCCTTCTTTGCATTTGCTTCTTTCAGCCCTCTTTTATAGGAGCTTTTATCCGGTTTCTGACGTCATATACCTGCGTCTTTTCCCTTTTCTCTTTACCCAATCGCTGCGTCTCAGCGGGGCAATGGGTGGTTTAAGTGGTAACACATCGTTCTTCTCCTTTGGGCCGAATGATAGCTTTATCTCAAAGAGCTTTGCTGGACTACAGTAGTACGTGATCGACCCCCTTAGTAATCCAACAACGACAACAACAAACTAACCATCTCATCTCTAACAACAGCCGCAACCTCCCCTCCAGTCTCCAAGATCTCCTACTCGGCAGAACAGTCGCCGAAGTCCACTGGGCAACACTCGGCCCCGTACCAGACTCCTGGATCCTAAGTTCAAAAGACTCAGCCGGAACGAGCAGTTTACGCTGGGGTGCTTCCATCCCAACGCGCCTACAAACAGTTCTGAGCAAAACATGGCACTCACCTCACCTCCGCGCCTTCCTCGGTCCCCATGATTCCTTCATAATATCGCATCCTGAACTTCTGCGCTGGGCAAACCTCCCCCCAAGCCTAGAAGATGCATTGCAATCCTGGCTCACGCCCTCCGGCTGGCGCGTCGGCCCCCCGCGCATGGTAACGTGGGGCCCGGAAGGCGCCTTCTTTGCTATGAGCGAGTACGGCGATGTTGTGTACCGGCTTGGCGACCCAGACGCATGGGACATTTACAAAGAAACAGTTGAGGAATGGAAGGCTGAACGGGGGTTTCTTTGGAACGAACTCGCGTTTATCGCGCTGGATCCTACGACCAACGATCAATTCGTCGCCATACGGAATGATGGCACGTGGGCCGGCTCCATCGACGACGTCAATGAAGATGCGCTAGAGGGTTTTGCGTTGAATTACTTCGCCAGGACGAAACCGAAACATAGGGCTAACGCTAGTACGTCGTCGATGCCTGGTGGAGGCGGTGGTGGACAAACGCCAAACGGAACGAGGGACCCCCCACCAGTGAAGAAACCAGATGCAGAACTCCAACCCCTCTACACAAAATGGAGTACCGAAACCGCTGTCCTCTTCGCTACCGCCTCCGCTTCCACGGGTGGTTCCAAAGCAAAAGCCCCAAGGAAACTACAGGTCCGCTCTGTATCCAGTAGTTCGGATACCTCGTCCTCTCCCTCCCCCTCACCTGGCGGCAAAAACCAGGGTAAATCACAACTCCTGTCGCAGTTCCCGTATCTCCCAGCGGCGGTGACGACGTGCTCGCTTACTGCGTGTACGATTCTAAAGGCGCAGGATGCGAGTATCCATGCGTGTCAACATGATTTGGAGAGGCTGTTGAGGGCGAGTGGGTTGTATAGTTATGAGTGGTTGAGGCAGGAGAGACTTAGGTGGCATCCGGATCGGTTTGGGAGGTTGTGTGTGGAGGAGTGGAGGGAGACGGGGAAGAAGCTTGCGGGGGAGATGTTTAAGCTTATGAGTGTGTTGATTGAGGATGTTAAGCATGCTGAGGGCGTGTAATTCTGTTGGCATATGGGGCTTGGGTTTGATCTTGTATAGTAGGACATTTAGCTGATGGGTGGTGTTTTGAGACTCAACTTTGTTTATAGAATCAACATAATTACTAGATCACAATATCTCGCTTTTTCTCATTGAAGACCCTCTACCCATCAACACCCACCAATCTCAACCCCTCCGTCCCCTCGCCCAATTTCACCTTCTCCTTCGCCGCCACCTCCGCCACCCGCCTCCTCCCCCCATCCCTCGCCTCTCTCAACACCCCCTCATCCATCTCGCAAAACAGCATCGCCAAGATACTACTCTTCCACAACCTCTCACTCTCCACTCCGCGACTCTCTACAGCCACCAGGACCAAAAACACAGCCGAGAGCGCAATCATTACCGCGGGAAAAGCCGTCCACTTCCAATTCACATAAATACACGTCGTACTAAACCACACGGTACCAAGCGCAGGCTGACTAAAGTTCTTCTCGCCATGCACGCGCAGCACAGTCGTCATAGAAGTAGTGAGATTTTGCATGAAGGAATCCACAGACTGCAAGTTCATCTCGCGGTCATTGTAGAGTCTGCGCAGTGCGGCAGAAGTGTTGAAGGAATACGCGGGCTTCGTGAGCCATTGCTCTTGAAATGCCGTTTCGAGGTGTCTGTTGATGCCTGTGGCGGAAGCACGGGAGAAGGCGTAGACGCAGTCGACGGGGTAGAAAACTACTTCCATTGCTGGTGTTCCTTCTAGAGCTGAAAAACTGGCGTTTATAGGGGCGGTGGCAACGTTTGCTCTGGCGACGCCTTCGTAGTTTGGAGCGGGGGTGCTGCGTGGGGTGCAGTCGGTTAGGGTGCCGTTGCGTATGGTTTGCTTTGTTGCGAGGCGGAAGATGGTTCCCTTGCCGAATGCTATGTCTTGGCCCATTCGATCGCTGCTGAGGAGCGTCTCTTGAAGAACGCCGTTGTGGTAGCGGACAGCGTAGGTGTTGACGGTGGGGTAGAGGTCGCAGCTGACTGCTTTATAGTAGGTGTAGTTGTTGAATTCGGGGCGATAGATCATTTTCACACTGCCTAGGGTACCGTTGTATCCCATCATTGATACGCCGGTCACGAGTGCGCCTGGCCAGCCAAACATGGCAAATTTCAGCGGGTCGGTAGAGTATTGGTCGTCGCCCAGGGGGAGGGACAGGCCAATGTTCCAGACGTAGGTGCCGTTTGGGAGTGTGGTATTGAAATATCCCTCGACCATGCTGGTCGTGTTACTGGGATTACTCGTAGTCCCGTTCTCATATGGTTCGCTCATTATTTTGGTTCCAGCGTAGGCATAATCGTGGTTTCTGGTCAAGGGTATTTCTTGTACTTGGGAAGTGACATCGTCGCACGTGTGACCGATTGCAATAGTCGAATATGCCGGCCCATCAGATGCTGGGAAAGTGCAATTACCAGTAGTGCATCCATACGAGAGAGCCTGTGTGCGATCTTCGACGGGTTGGAGCATACCAATATCCATTGCCACAGCCATGGGCAGAAACTCATCGTACAACTGTGACCCCAACCTATCTCCAACTGCATTGAAGTAGTTGGATCGACGTATTCCTACTGGAGCTGAGTTGTCGGGTCGCTGACAGTCTTGGAATATGATGAGTTGTTGAGCTGCAAATCCAGTAAAGGCGGCCATGATGGTGATGAAGGCGCCCATTGATGCGATAAAGTATGGCTTCTTGATCCGGAACCCGAAGAGCAACAGGACAGATCCCCAAGCACCACGACTAGCAGAATCAAACTTCTCCATATCTCCCAGCGTCCGTGCTGTACGAAACCACTGCCATTTAGACTGGCTGATTCCTATTCGAATTAAAACTTCATTCACCGCGCAGAGCAGTATCAAACATACCTTCAGCAAGCACCATACCTACCCCCGCTCTAATCAACATCGAGAAGATGGAAACGATAGAGTTGATGCCAACAATCTGTGGCCAGTCCGGTAACGGCTTATCTTGATGCGCCAGAAGCGTAGCCACAAGTCCCAGCAGCGCCAACAAGGCAAAAATACAACTAAACGTTTCCGCCGTCCAACCTTTCTTCCACATCCGCGATGAACCGTTGGAAAAGCGCGTCCAGCCACGACCGATGCCGCGGGGAATGGCGGCCATAGTGCCCAAGAACGATGGAAGACATCCTTTGGATTGCTCGGGGGATTCCTTAGTTTCTACACAGGGTTCCTTTGCGCGGCTGTTTGTTCTGTCGTTACGCTGGCTGAGCAGCGGTCTTGAGGGTGGTGGTTGTGAGGCTTCCATTGTCGAGGAACTGAAGTTGAACTAAGAGTTCTTGTGTCCAGACTGTCTTCACACTATAAAGTTTTCTCCCCATGGATAGAATGCATGAGGCTTAGCAGGGCGTAAATGCGGCATGGTGGAACGACAACGGTCGTGTGGTTGGTGGGCGCGTACAGGCCGGCCAAATGCTGTGGGGGCCAAGTTTATTGTGGTTTTCGAAATACCTTGAGCCGCCTGGATCTGGTTAGCTTGGTGCCCAAGAACATCAACTCCCATAGTAATTTGTTAGTAAATTAATGCAGCAGCCGTTTCCCACCTCCAGAAGCCCATGAAGCTAGTCCTGTACTCTAAATCGTTCGTGTATAGCGTTTTGTTTGTGTGGAGCTTGTTGCGAGCTCAATCTAGCTGCTGTTGGGATGCCGCCCAAGCGCCAGCGTAAGCCGAAGCAGCCATTCGATCAAGGCGTTAACCCGTCCTCCCAGAAGCGTAGAGCGCCAGCAACTAGACAAAATCCTACCCATTTAACGCCTAAACGTGTCCGCCGTGAGGCGCTGCCGTCGCCTCCAGCGACTGCCCCGCCGCGCCGTCAAAGCCCGTTGTCCGAGCCTGAGCTGCAAGCCACCCAAACAGCTGCCTCCGCGCAAGCTGAAGATATCGTTGGCGAGGATGAGGATACTTTCGAGGATGGAGATGGCGATCCGCTGCCTGAGGATGAGGATGAGATCGCTGCTAAGGGCGCTGCCGGTAGTGTTGAGGATGAGGGAGAGCCAGCGTACCGACGTCAAGAAGGCACTCCATGGCTGCCTCGCTCATCGCAAGCGCTAGAGGATGAGGTTAATCCTGTACTGCGCGTTAGGTGGAGGGCTTGCCTTGGTGGTGATATGGAGAAACACTTTATTCCTGAAGCTGCCGATAGCGAGCACGGCGTACGGCTGTACTCGCTGCATTTCGACGACCTATGGCAGTGGGTAGATGACGTTGTTGCAGAATTACGGCCAAAAAGAGCGAAGATCTCATCTGTTTGCACTGTTGTTTACCCAGCTAAGCAGGCCAAACGCGAGCGCGCGATAAAGCGATTGCGGCGAGGTGTTGATGCAACGTGGAATAGCTTTCAGCGCCTTGTTGTAGAGGTTGATAACTATGTCAGCGAGCCAGTAAACGTCGATTTCGAGCTCATCTTGGCTGAAATTCCAGGGGAGCAGCAGCCGTTGCCAACGGTTGTCGACGGTCCTCGTCGACGCACCGCAACGGTGATTCAAGAGGAGGGGCTTGCTGGTGTAATAGCAGCTGAACAAGCAGGTAGCGGGCATGCTATTGCTATCCGGGATAGATGGCGCTGTACAGATACCCATTGCGAGAACTATCCTTATTGCTGCTGGATGGCGCCAACAGCGAGGCAGCCAGCGCGCTTCGAAGATCACCTCTTTGTCAACGGCAACATTATCTCCATGTGGGCAAGAGCAATTACAGCGAGAAGGGCAACGTACGATGAGCCATCTGATGATGTACGGCTTGCAATTTTGAGAGCAAAGGACCTGCGGGTGCATGAGAAAACGCGCAAGTTGCGGGCGGCTGGAGATGGCGACGATGATATCAAAAGCTTAACAAAACTGCTCATCGTTGGACAGCTTGAGCGGATGAACAGGCAACCTCAACAGGAGTCTAACTTGCAGGCAGCTGCACCAACGATAACAAGAGCTGAGGTATCTAGTGCATCTCAGTGGGCGCCTATCCGATATGATCATGAGCAGGAGATTAACGAGCATACTAGTAATTTCTTTAACTACCTTAAGTTAAAATTTCCTACAGTTGGAGAGGACATTAACGAGCTTTATAAGACTCTTGTTATTGACGGAGCTATGGATATCAACCTCTTGATGCAGCCATCTGGTGATATCTTGAAGTTGTGGACGCAGCATTTCAAGCAGCCTCCTGGCTGGTTTTTCACGCTACAAAACACTGCAAAAGAATGGCAAGCTGGGTACCAGGGTCTCACAGATCGTAACTGGAGACGAGTCGAACGTTGTAAGAAAAGAGAAGAGATTGCGCGCAAGAAATTGGTGGTTGAACCGTCTAGCAGTGTTGTGGAGGATGATGGCGAGAATGCTTGAAGCTTAGTGGCCTGAGCGTTTTTGGTGACAGCGGCCCGTGCCCGCTATAGTGTTGAGGTTTTTCAGGCGTTTCAAATGCGCTGCAACAATAGTCTATTTGGATAGCCCTATGTACAACACTACAACGTTATGCGATTATAACAGGTTAACTTCCTAAGATAGTTCTATATGTATAGAAATAGCTCTTATTTTTTTAGAATTATTAAATCGCTTTTGTGGGTTGCGCATTAAGGTGTAATCGTTCGCATTTGTATGGTATCATCTACCTATAGAAACGTACTGTGGCATCCATTTAAAAGCACAATTAATAGGGATAGCCACACCTATGGAACCAGCTTCTGCAGTTAATATTACAGCACACCAGCTGCGCTGCATACTCAAGAAAGACCCCAAAGTCAATGAAGTTCTCCGCTTGCGCTGAATTCCTTTTCATCCACCCCTTGAGCTGCTTAAAGCTCTTCTCGATGGGGTTGAAATCTGGTGAGTATGGCGGCAGATACTCAAGGAGTACTCCAGCACTTTGGCAAAGCACCCGTACACGCTCTGATCGATGGATGGAGGCGTTATCAAGCACGATTACTGAGGCTGGCCCTGGGTGAGGATTGCAGAACGGCAGCACTTGAAACTCTAAGAAGTCTTCTAGGATCTCAGATGTAATCGCGCCTTGAAAGATCTTATAGCTTATGTAGCCATCTATCGTCATGGCTGGCAGCAGCGACCACCGTTCTGATCGCCTGAAGCTGTGTGATAGCTCCACCGGCTCCCCGATTGGAGACCAGCCATACTTGCGGTCGCCCGTACGCTCATTGCAGGCGCTCTCGTCCAACGCAACGATCTGCTCCGCCTTATAGTGTTGCGCCATCCTGGCAAGATAGAGGCGGCGGAGTGGCTCACTCTGCTCCTTTGCCCGCTTTGTTGCAAGCTTGCGAGACCATCTCATCTTCTCTAGCTCTCGGTAAACGCTCGCAAGGCTTATCCTAACGTCGTACTCGTCGTACAAGAAGTCCCTCATCTCATCCATGTATGCGCCCGGTGAGCCATTGAGGTATGCCTGAAGGCCTTCGCGCTGAGCTTGCCGGAGTATAGATGGCCGCCCAAGTCGAACGCAGCGCGGCGGATAAGGCACGCCCCAAAACTCTAAGCTCAACCTCAGCTTTGCTACTGTGTTACGGCTCGCACCTGTAGCTCTAGAGATGGCTCGATCACTTTCGCAGGCAGCAATTCGGTCGAGGATAGCCTGGAGAACAGCGGGCTGCAAGCGGTGGCCGGTGCCTGGCATCGCGATGAGATGGGCTCGAGAAAATTGCAACACCAAAAACGCGAGTCAGTAGAGGCGATCGCAGCAAACAATGAACTTCAAATACGTTGTGGGTGTTAGAAAGCGTGGCTGCATCGATTTACTAACAAATTACTATAGGAGTTGATGTTCTTGGCCACCAAGCCAACCAGATCCAGGTGGCTCAAGGTATTTCGAGAAACACCCATAGAGCAAGCGGTGGGGAGGATACTTGGACCTCATTCAGAGCAACAGACACAACAGCTGTTCCATATCATCGTCTATTGCGTCTATTGCGTCTATCTGGTTAGTATATACTGATAGACGTCATCCATGGTACTTTGGATTCCGACCACGGCTCCGTATGTACGCATGCTGTACGAGACTGAGTGCCACACCCGTGCGCCTACAGGATACCAAATCCTAGCGCCAACAACTCAACACTACTGCGCACCCACGTCCTTACCCCACATGCCATTTGTCAGGACTCCCACTAGCGGCGTCGGCAAACTCGGGCTGAAATATGCAGGAAAATGATGTCTGCATGCTGCAGGAAAGGGGCGGCTGAGAGACGGGAGAGCCTTGAAGTAGCCAAGCATTTTGGCGTTGAGCTCTTCCCTCAACTGGTCTGCACGAGTCAAGCGAGGATGCGTGGAGCTACACTTGACTACTGCTCGTGGGCACGTGTCAAAATCGAAATACCAGATATGTCGTCTTCGTATATACTGTAGGCAAACCCATGTCTTGCAAAATACCACCTGAGATTAATTTTTTATGTGACATGTCGTTTTATACATAAGCTCTTCTCGAGCTGACAACCGCAGACGCCACACGAGGGGCTCGGGTATAGAAGCCACGCCCGCAAACGCCGAATATCCTAACCAAACAAATGAGACAGAAAGGCCGTTATCGTACGCGGGTCTACTGGGGTAAAGTGCGACAGAGTATCGAGGTAAGAGCCTTGCCCGCGTGATACAAGATTCTTACGAAAACCAAACTGGTTGCGGCTTGTTGCCTCCACTGTCAACCCCATAGTCATCGCAGTCCATCACCTCAAACTTGGTGCCCAGAGCCTCGTTCGCCTCCTTCAGCATAGCAGTCATCTGCATGCTCATCCTGCGGATACGCTCATCTTCCTCAAACTCTTCCCTCTGCGCCTTGGTAATGAAATGATGACTCTCTTTCGGGAGCGGGCTCACGGACTTGTTTGACATGTTCTCGTCCATCATGAGAGGCGAGCCGTAGCTTTGACGGTTGTACGCTCGGGATTGACCTTGCGAACCAGGAGTGGACTGTGGGCTCCCACCGAAAGACTGCCTTGACATTGTTGATCGTCGCGACACGGGGATCAGAGAATGCCGCTTGTTGGATGATGGCGTTGTCATGTTTGCGCGCGACACAGGACGGGGGATGTAGGAGGGCGTTCGTGTATGACCGGGAAGCCTTCGCTCTGCTACTCGCGGCGTAGATGGCATCGTTTCGGACTCGCAGTTTGTGCCAACAACCACCCAGTTGTCTGCCGTGCGGAGGCGCTTTGTCATCCTCGGTCGATCGGGAGAGGCTGGCTCTGCTGGGGGTTGCATCGAGACTGGCTCAATCGGCGCTGGTTCCATCGTCGCTGGCTCCATCGTCGCTGGCTCTACCGTCGCTGGCTCCGTGGATTCGATGCCGTAGTTATCGCTGGGGAAGCCTCCTGGTGTCGTCTGCTGTACAGCACCGGCTGGATAGGGGTCATCCTGTAAACCAAGCTTCGCTGCAACCTCCCCGTGTGAGTCGATGCCATATCTCTGTCCACCTCCCGCCTGGAAGCCACGGAACGGCACGGTGCAGAACTGAAAAAGTTTGCCGGCTACTCCGCCCACAAGGCCGATGAGCGACCATGATTTGGTCCCGCCGGGTGTCGCGTGCATCTCTCCAGCCGCTACCTGTGTCGCCAGAGCTACGTGGGGAGTAGGCGGAACAGACCAGGTGCCACGCTGCTTCTGGAGATTGAAGTAATCGTCGTAGTCGCCTTCGGATGTCGTGGAATTATGCGACGCATCCATGCCCCCAGCTAGTTCGTATCGGTCGTTCGCAAGCGGCGGCGGACTCTTGGTGTCTATAGAACGGGAGTTGCTCAGCGAGTCTTCGTCCCAGGTGCTTGTCGCCGAGATGGGTGCGGTAGATGTGCTTTGGCCATATCGGGAACGTTTGCGGGTCTCGTGAACGTCAGCCTCAATCGCCTGGCGGCCGGACGACTCGGTCGCATACGAAGGCCGCGCCGGCGATTCGAAAAAGCCGCTTCCCAGGCTCGCGCGTGCACGCGATGGAGATGGGGTGAACAGGCCAGGCATGTCGACAGAGTAGCGGGAATTAGAGGCCATGCAGGGAGGTGGATCGGAGGTTGCCTTCGGAGCGTTCGTGAGGCAGCACTAGCGTGCCAATGATGTCAGCCTTGGTCGGTTTGTTATTGCTTTTCACAGGCTTCAATTATTCGCTGCTCCCGGACATCGAAGGAGTTGCTAGAGATACATGTTGAATGTCGTACGTGGTGATGGAATTGCGGGTGGGGAAGTGCGGAGGTGCGAGCTGTTGTTTATGTTCGGCCGTCGCTGGGGTAGCGTAGTAGCTTAAGCTTTGACGACCTATCTTCATGCTAAAGTCAGGAGTAACGCAACGTTGCGAGATGAGTAAAGTTTTTGGAAAAAGGGGTTCATTTATTCGATTCAACAACTATGTGGGTGTGGTCGCCCACCGACGACACCTGTAATGCCTTCCGCCAGGGGTATACCGCTGTGAACGCCAGGCCCTAACAAATACGAACTATCATGAGGCGGGTGTGCTGGGTTTCTAGCCCCTCGCTATCCATCCGCTGTGCACCATAAGTTCGTATATTTGTCCAGCCTTGGCTGCGTCTATGTTGCAGATCTCTCTAGCCGTCTTCTTCTTAAGAACACCGGCATTGACATAGGCCGCGTGGAGTATCTTTTCCTTGAGCGACATGTATGGCTTCGGCATTATGCGCAGTACCGAACAGAGCTCTTTCTCTTCTGGGTGGAGCAGGCTGGCATCCGCCAGTGCCTGTTTGCTGAACTTCAAAGGCACTGTGTTGGGGAGCGGCTTCACCACAAACTTAGACTTGGCTTGTTGTGGGTTAGCAAGACCATTGACACCATTGGCAGTACGGTCTGGGGGTGGCGTGGTAAGCCCACTGCTTTGCTTGATGTGCAGTGGGAGCTCCTGTGCAAGCAATGCCGTGGCTGCCGAAGGCTGTTCGAACGGCGGCTGCGGTTTCGTGATTCTGTTGGATGCCAGGCGGTCGAACTGTCCAATTGGTGGTGGCCTAGTTTGCCGCTGTTGCTTCTCTTGCTCGTACTTTTCGCCAGCCTTGAGACTGGTTATCTGCATGTTCCTCCACTCCTGCAGCTGTGAAATGGCCTGTCGCAGGTTATGCTCGTATTCCAGGTCCTTACAGAACTGCTCAAAGTCACTATGCTTCATCATCCTCGCAAAAGGCTTGGCCTTGTTCATGAGGTCCTTTTCTTCTTTTGTTCGTTTCTTGTCGGCCAATTGGTTCTTGCGGTACTCGAGTAGTTGATGCTCGAAAATGATCTTCTTTCGTTCTACTCGGGCGTCTAGGCGGGAATTGTAGATTTCCATAATAGTCATCTTAAGCTCCATCTCGGGTTCTATTTCGCCAGTCCTAGGGTTGATGCCGTCGCCAGGATCGAACTGCATGTGCTGGACCGCTTCTTCGGCTTCGTTGAAGTACTCTGTCTCGAACTCCAGACGACCTGGCATGTAGCCTTGGACCTCGTGACATGCTGGGACACTAGCCGTAGGCTTCTGCTTAGGAGCATCCGGTTCACGTGCTGCAGCTTCCTCCTTCTTCTTCTCAATCCTCCGTTTCTTCCTAGCCTGGAACTCATGGCGCGGTATCCGAGTGCTGAGCTCGGTATCATCCTTGCTGCAGTGCTCCGGTAGAGGAAAGCTGGGGCTATTCAGATATGTGTTGATGTAGTGCTCGCGCACCTCATCCTTGTCCCGGTAGCCGCCAATGTGATCGGCGATGTCTGCCCATGATCCTAGACCATACGTCTCAGCACCCTCCAACAAGGCCAGCTCCTCGTCGGCGCCCCAGTCCTCGGTGTAGATGGGTATCGAATGCTGCTCGATGACCTTGAACTTGTGTTTGGCGGGCTGGTGGTCCCGTGTGGCCTTGCCGTCGGAGAAGCAAGGCACGCACAGGTCATATTCGTGACAGATGTCTTCGGCGCAGCGTATGCGGACCTGCAACACATAAGTAAACATGCCATCACTCGCATGTCGTGGAGATGCATTGGACCTACCGTCGACGTGATATCGGATGAGCAGACATCACAGACATACTTAGTGCCGCCTTCTGTGCCCCGGGTACCCGTCTTCTTCTTGATGACTCCCATGGTGACCCCGCTATCCTGGGTGTAGGTGAAGGAGAGGCCTCGCCACGCGCCGAGGTTGGGTGAGACAAAGCGCTATGGCTGTGCGCTACAAACGCGTGTCAGAGTCGGTAGAGTCTAGTAATGTCAAACAGCGAACTGCAATGCCCTGATCTGGCGCTCTGGGCAAAGACGGGCACGTCTGGTCGAGGGTGTCTTCGCCGTGTTGGGCTCCCTTGATGGGCGATGGCGATGGCGGTCAGTAATGGCAATGGTTGCCGCGCATGCACGGGATGTTGTTCGCGACGGAAGCTGCAGCCGGCACGTCACAGGCTGTCGCGTCTGCCCAACTTCATCGTCACCAGTCGGCCTAGCTCAAAATAGAACACTCGGCGGGCTCTCCTCTCACTCGTCGTGGGGCTCGAAACAGCGACAATAGGAAATGACTTCAGGCGCGGATTGGCGTGTCAGTGCGGGAAACACGACCTGGTCGCCGGCCGAAATTAAGGCTAGCGACCCAATGACCCCTCAAACGTGAGACCCTATCTTGAGAAGCATCGTAGAAGAAGCGCATTGAGGCCTGGGGCACTCGGACGTTAGACTCGTTGCCACCATCCGCTCCCTATACCTGTGACCGCTCTCCGTCTTCTTCCCAGCTTCCTTACCTAACCTTTACCAAGCATAAACTCGGCTTTCCTGGTGCGCCCCTCGCCGCTTTCCCGTTCCACTCGACCGCTCACAGTATCCGTCTGTCTGTTCTCCCAACCTCACCCACCGAGCTCCTGCAACCATGTCTTGGAAGCTCACCAAGAGTGCGTACATATCTGCCACCCGCCCATGTCGTGTGAAATGCCTAATTATTTCCTGCAGAACTCAAGGAGACGCATCTCGCGCCTCTTGCCAACACTTTCAGTCGCTCGTCTTCCACGTCGACCATCGTCGACCAGTCAACGCCCAAGGCGTCTAGTCATGCCAGCAGCGCAACTACCCTTTCAGACTCAAAAGACAATGGAGCCGGTACTTGCGCCCTCACACTGCACTAACTACTCGTGCTGACCCAAAGAGCAGACGCGAGCGCCCCGCCTGCACCGCCTGTTCGCCCAGGTATTCTGATAGTCACGCTGCATGAAGGCCAAAAGTTCTCGCTGCCCCCGGGCGTCGAGCAGCAGTTCAGCGGCGGCCACCACCAGGGCTCCATGTCCCAGGGCGGCGGTCTCTCGGTTGCAGGTTCCATGCGCCCCGACTCGTCATCACGCAACGCAGTCTCCGGCTCCTACACCAACCGCCCACAGTCTGCCGCTGGCAGCATCAATGCCGCGCCCACTATCCATGGTCGCTACTCCTCAAAACACCTGCCATATGCCTTGGTCGATTTCGACAAGCAGCAGGTTTTCATCAATGCCGTCTCAGGTACCCCCGAGAATCCCTTATGGGCCGGCAGCAACACCCAGTACAAGTTCGATGTATCCCGCGTCACCGACCTCACAGTATCTCTCTACATCAGAAATCCCTCGGCAACGCCCAACGCCGGTCGCAACGAGGATATCTTCATTGGTACACTCAAGGTTCACCCTCGATTTGAGGAGCAACAGCAGGATGCAAAGGCCCAAAAAGGAGACGACGCAGCTGGCCAGGCTGGTGCTGACTGGATTCCAGTGCAGTTCGGTAGCGGTCAGATGAAGATTGGTGTCAACTTTGTCGAGAACCGACAAGACCGTCTTGCTATTGACGACTTTGAGCTTCTCAAGGTGGTCGGCAAGGGCAGTTTCGGCAAAGTCATGCAGGTGCAGTACGTACTAGTTCGTTCATGCTGTGTTACCAGTTGCTTACAATCTACAGGAAGAAAGATACGCACCGAATCTACGCCCTCAAGACGATCCGTAAAGCACACATCATCTCCCGATCCGAAGTCGCGCATACGCTTGCTGAACGTTCAGTACTCGCCCAGATCAACAACCCGTTCATCGTACCGTTGAAGTTTTCTTTCCAGTCGCCAGAGAAACTATACCTTGTCTTGGCTTTTGTCAACGGTGGTGAGCTATTCCACCATCTACAGAAAGAGCAGAGATTCGACATCAACCGCGCTCGTTTCTACGCAGCCGAGCTTCTCTGTGCTTTGGAGTGCTTACACGGTTTCAACGTCATCTACCGTGACTTGAAGCCTGAGAACATCCTCCTCGATTACACTGGTCACATTGCGCTTTGCGACTTCGGTCTCTGCAAGTTGGACATGAAGGACGAGGACAGGACTAACAGTAAGTCATGACTAATCGTTCGGATTAGAGGACATGACTAACATACTTTAGCATTCTGCGGAACTCCAGAGTACCTTGCCCCTGAACTTCTTACCGGTGCCGGCTACACCAAGTCAGTAGATTGGTGGACGCTTGGTGTACTACTATACGAGATGTTGACTGGTCTGCCACCATTCTACGATGAGAACACCAACGACATGTACCGCAAGATTCTCACCGAGCCTCTGCATTTCCCCGGTCCTGAGGTTGTTCCTCCAGCTGCGCGAGACTTGTTGACCCGCCTGCTCGACCGCAATGCGGACAAGCGGTTGGGCGCAAAGGGCGCGGCGGAGATCAAGGCACACTACTTCTTCCATAGCATCGACTGGCGAAAGCTGCTCGAAAGGAAGTACGAGCCCAGCTTCAAGCCTAATGTGGTATGTAAACTTCAAAACTTGTCAAGTCAGCAGAGACTAATTATTCCCAGGTTGACGCAAAGGACACTGCCAACTTTGACCGTGAATTCACCTCCGAGGCACCGACAGACTCATATGTCGACGGTCCTATGCTCTCACAGACAATGCAGCAGCAATTTGCAGGATGGTCGTACAACCGCCCAGTTGCTGGGTTGGGCGATGCTGGTGGTTCGGTGAAGGACCCATCGTTCGAGGGTGTAACAGAGCGATAGTGCGTTCGTATGTTCAACAGTTCGGCATCGGAGAATGGCCGTCGAGTTGTGGCTTGGCTTGTTCCGGCGATGGAGCCGATTGCAGGCAAAGCATTGGATCCACAGATAGAAGACCTAGCGATTGGTGGGATCTCAGCGCTCATTGATGCTTTTTGGGTTCTGGAGCAACGGCACGGCGCTTGAGGCAGCATTTGTATGAAATCAGCCTAGATTCAGGCAAGCAAATAAAGACGATATCCCCATTTATCTCGACAAGTGCAAAGGACTGGGTGTCAGGGTACGCGCATGGCCTTCACCGGATGTACTGACATGTCCACGGATAGAGCTTCTTTGCATTACCCTAAAGTATACCGACATACCAAAAGGGCTCATTTAATGGCAATGACATGCATGCAGACCCGTGGCAATGGTAGAGCCCCTCTTAGTGAGCGGCTTTGTAAGGCTGAGCCAACAGAAAGTCATGACAGCCTGCGCGTGGCTGTCGTGCTGGTAAAAGTGGTGCCCCTCCTTCCTCAACGGAGCTCTGACGCAAGCGGGGTCTCGGCCGCGCCTTCGACTATACATTTCTGCTATCAGACCACCCAAAACATTGACAATCTCTCTACTCCCACCTTTTCCATCCCCGTATACTGCAATTGACAACTTCCATCCCCAATTGCCATATCACCAAAGTACGCAAGGACCCACTTCTTGCCCATTCCACATACTCACCCTACTAGCTCAGTAACACAACATGCCCGGTTTCGCACAGGCCTCCGACCTCAATGCCTGGTCGGCGCTTCAGGACCACCACCAGAAGCTCGGCAAGGACATTGTACTTAAGGAGTACTTCAAGAAAGACCCACAGGTAAGTCATGGACCCTCCAACCAACTACGTCATCTAAAGGCTTTCAGCGATTCGAAAAGTTCAGCCGCACCTTCAAGAACGATGCCGAGAACTCCGAGATCCTGTTCGACTTCTCCAAGAACTTCATCACAGAGGAGACACTGAAGCTTCTCATTGAGCTCGCAAAAGAGGCTGGCCTCGAGAAGCTCCGAGATGACATGTTCGCTGGTGAGAAGATCAACTTCACCGAGAACCGTGCCGTCTACCATGTCGCTCTCCGTAATACCTCCAACCAGACCATGAAGGTCGATGGCCAGAGTGTCGTCGAGGAAGTCAATAGTGTGCTCGACCACATGAAGGAGTTCAGTGAGCAGGTTCGTAGCGGCGAGTGGAAGGGATACACTGGCAAGAAGATCGATACCATCATCAACATTGGTATTGGTGGTTCAGATCTGTACGTCATTGATTAACTGCTTTTCGAATTATTGTAACTTCCTGGCTAACACAAGAAAGTGGTCCCGTCATGGTATCAGAGGCCCTCAAGGCTTACTCCCAGCGCGACCTCAAGATCCACTTCGTCTCCAACATTGACGGTACCCACATCGCAGAGGCCCTGAAAGACTCCAACCCGGAGACATCGCTCTTCCTCATTGCTTCCAAGACCTTCACCACCGCCGAGACAGTCACCAACGCCAACACTGCCAAGTCATGGTTCTTGAAGAGCGCAAAGCAAGAGGACATTGCCAAGCACTTTGTGGCTCTCTCCACCAACGAGGCGGAGGTCACCAAGTTTGGTATTGACAAGAAGAACATGTTCGGTTTCTCCGACTGGGTCGGTGGACGTTACAGTGTCTGGAGCGCCATCGGTTTGAGCGTCGCTCTCTACATTGGTTTCGACAACTTCCACCAACTTCTCGCTGGTGCCCATGCCATGGACAAGCACTTCAAGGAGACTCCTCTAGAGCAGAACATCCCCGTCATTGGTGGTCTGCTAAGTGTATGGTACTCGGACTTCTTCGGTGCCCAGACACACCTTGTCTCTCCGTAAGTTCAGAACGTACTCAGTTGTACTTTATCTAACATTGTCTCAGCTTCGACCAGTACATGCACAGGTTCCCTGCCTACCTCCAGCAACTGTCCATGGAGTCGAACGGTAAGGCCATTACCCGCAGCGGAGACTACGTCAAGTACACTACTGGCCCCATCCTCTTCGGCGAGCCAGCCACCAACGCCCAGCACTCCTTCTACCAGCTCCTCCACCAGGGCACCAAGCTCATCCCCACCGACTTTATTCTCGCTGCCAAGAGCCACAACCCTGTAGAGAACAACAAGCACCAGAAGATGCTTGCGTCTAACTTCTTCGCCCAGGCCGAGGCTCTCATGGTCGGCAAGACCCCTGATGAGGTCAAGGCTGAGGGCGCCCCTGAGGAGCTGGTTGCCCACAAGACCTTCTTGGGCAACCGCCCCACTACCTCCATTCTTGCCGACAAGATCACCCCAGCCACTCTTGGTGCTCTGATTGTCTACTACGAGCACCTCACCTTCACCGAGGGCGCCATCTGGAACATCAACAGCTTCGACCAGTGGGGTGTTGAACTTGGAAAGTCGCTTGCCAAGAAGATCCAGGCTGAGCTCGACGACGACAAGGAGTCTACTGCCCATGATGCCAGCACGAGCGGCCTCATCAATGCTTTCAAGAAGAAGTCTACTTTGTAAGCGGCTCACGGAAGTGCCGGGATTGGCTGTAATGGCTAAATGACCTCATGAATAATAGGTAGAAGAAGGAGGAAATCCTGAAGTATCCCAAGATGATACCAATATATATACATAAGAATGAACATATATGTACCTCTGCAGTTTTGAGTCACCAATCACCGCGGTCAAGTTGAGTGATACAAAGACTTCATTAGATTTATTAGAAACCGGTCTTTCTCGTGCACTATAATATCCCTATACTACAACACTAGAATGACCATGTACGCAATCAGGGTATTGTATCCAAGAGATGATAGGACGGCCCTCGCGTGGAATGCGGAGTTGAAGCGGGAGTGCTCTGGGGCACAGGCCAAGGAACTTCGTACTCGAACGCACATGTCCAAAGTTGACACATGGTCACCACACCAACACGGTCCACCACAACCGCAATGCCTATACGCTAAACCCTGTCTTTCGCTCCCAGTTCCGATAATAATTCTCCGTCCATCAATCTTGCTCGTTATTGTCGCCTTCATCATGACCAGAAAAACACAGGCGCCATCATGGCTGCCTACGGTTGCGCTGTTCGCCTTCTGGTCTTCCCTTGCGACAGCATTGAGTGGACAGGAGCCAATGAAGAGCATGGAAGAAGCGCGAGGGTATAATCCCGGAGAACCAATTCCAGTGAGCTGTCTGAACAGGACCATGTAAGTCAATTGATCCTACAACACGAGTTGTCTGCAGTGACTAACAAACTCGATAGAGAAACTGGTGAACACGTACGTATCTATCCTTTACCTCGCCAGCTGCAACCTATAGTGTGCCGTCTTCCTCGCACCTAGAAAGACAAAGTGCGCCACAAACAACGCTTCACACCAATCCAACGACATCAGAACAGCCAGACTAACAATCCCCACAGATAGTAGATGCCGCCGGTCACCTTCAATACATACCATTCCCCGTCTGCGCCGAAACCAAAGCCCCCCTGCAACTCTTCTTCGGCCACGAAGGCGAGATAAACTGTACAATCCCCTTCATAACGGACGAATTCTTCCACCTTCTCGAATTCTACATCCACAACGACGCGCCCCTTTCCTGCCGCATTCCGTCCAAACCACTACCTCCCTCAGTCTTCGAAAAAACGTACCGCGTCTCAGACGAGTCGACGCAGGAAGGTGTGCTAGGTTCCCAAAGCACAATGTACACGCCGCTTGTGATTGCGCTGGCGGGAACACTGCAACTGAGCCACTTGCACGTGGGGAATTACTTGAACCTGCTGGTGCATGCGAGTCCGAAGAGTGTGAGCAAGGGGACTGTGGATGCAGCGACGGCGTATAGTGTTAGTTCGCATACGCGGAATACAAAGATTACGATTGGGGATGAGTTGAATTTGCAGTTTAGCGTGCGGTGGTATCCTAGTACTACGCTGCCGCCGGGGTGGTCAGGGTATGGAGGACATATTTATACATCAACGCTGGTCTATTGCTTCCTCAGTGCCGTGGCGAGTGCGGCGGTTTGCGTGGTTTATTTTAGGGGCGTGGAGTTGCCGCGAAGGCTAAAGAGGTATGCGACGGAGAGGATGAATGGGGGTGGCAGGGGCTTTGGGAATGGCGGGAGTGGATATGGACTGCCGGTTTCTAATGGGAGGGTTGCGAGTATGGGGAGTGGGTATGGTTTGGGCGGATATGGCTATGGAGGCGGTGGGAAGAGGGTTGATTGAGGGATTTGATGTTTGGGTGCAGTGTATATCAAGTCGAGAAGCATTTACTGCGAGATTTGCGCAGATGCAGATATAGTGCAGAATGTATGTACACCCCGGTTGACTCTCCCAATATACAGGGCTCTGTCTAACGTGTCATATTTACCATCCCTTCCTCGTTAATTGAGTGACACGATGCGTGACTGCTTTGAAGCCCACCATGAACCTTGCTCTCCACCTCTCGGATGCCAACCGTTTCCTCTTCAACCCCCCTCGTTCATGGTATCTTTGCTTGTTGAAGTCCCTTTTGACCTTGTTTCTTGCCATCAAACTACCCAGCATACCAATCCCCCTCACAATATCCCGCCCACGGGAATTATCCAGATCCACCGAGCGCCCGTACGCGGGGTTCAAGCGGGGGTACTGAGCAAATATATTCTCCTGCTGGACAGCGAGCGACGCCGCATCAGACGGCTTGTTGGCAAGTGAAGGGTTCAGTATCGAATCCGGCGGCAAATCCATATCATCAAATGACAGGCTGGGCTTACGGCTCGGCCTCATGCTGTTACTGCTTGCGAAAGTTCCTGCGCCAAACAGACGAGGTTTGGATTGTGGGTTTGGCGTACCGCCTTGCGGCACGTACGACGGTGGAGCCCGATCTCTGGGTATTCCAGCAAAGAGACTGTCGAGACTTCGCGTGTCTTTTGCTTGGCTGGCTTGGGGTCGTGGTTGAGGTCTTGCGGCCTCGAACTCGGGCGTGTATTGGCCTTGTGGTCGCTGGGCTTCCGACTCGGGGATGAATTGCTCCTCGTCGGATTTGGGTGCCGGTTGTGCGGATGGCTGTGGGGTATTGGATAGCGCTCGTTGACATGTCCATGATGGTGTGGTTATCCGTTGTGCATACGGTATCCGTGTCAATGTGGAGGGGCGGAGCATGAGCTCGCCCAGCGATCTGGATGCCATGGTATGTTATCTAGGTGGATTACAGCAGCGACATCCAAGAGGTAGTTGTTGGAGTGTTGGTGGCCGGGCAATTGTGTGTGCGAGGTTGCTCCGATGAATGTGAAGGTCATGCAGTTGCGGCTCCCAAATTTGTCGGCGGGTTCGTGGTCCGAGCGCTTTTGTAGCTTCAATTCTGTTCGGACTTTGTATCTGTCGTTGCTTACCACAGCACGCGACAACCACTTGGGTTGTTTACTCTCTCACTTATCTCGATTTCTCCTCCCTAATTTGCGACCGTATAGCTAGTCGACATGTACGGCTATCCCGGTATGTCCATCAGTAATTGTGACGCGAAGCCAGCTAATCATTCGCAGGTGCCCCCGGCTACAACCGCCCCCCGGGCTTTGCAGCAGGTCCGCCTGGCATGGCACCACCTGGAATGGGTAAGTAGTCATTTTATATACATGAATATATGCTAACAATTCTCAGGTCCGCCAGGCGCTGCCGCACCCCCTCCCGGCGTCGCAGCTCCTCCAGGTGTCGCGAACGCTCAAGTCCCACCGACAATGAACGGACCGCGCGCTCTACCCTCAGGATGGCAAGCGCCTGCCAACATGCCCAACTTCAACTTCAACGCGCCCGTCATTCGCTTGGGAACGCAGGGAGGTCGGAGCGGAGCTGCTGATAGCCATGCAGGCGGACGGAGGGATAATGCAGCACCACCCGCTCGCCGTGGACTCGGTATGGATAGGGACGGCGATCGCCGAGACGGTCCCATGCAGGTCATCCCACCCAGTCGCGAGGAGATTGCAAGGACAATATTTGTTGGCAACATCCCCGATGGTGTTGGTGGTGATGAGGGTATGGAGCGCATTCTCGAGACTGCTGGAAAGCTAGCCCGCTGGACAAGGGCAACCGATGCGAACAACAAACCTCAGACATTCGGTTTCGCCGAGTTTGGGGACGCGCAGAGCCTGGAGACGGCCGCCGAGATCTTCAAAGATGTGCACGTACCTACGAAGCGCCAAAAGCCCGGCAAGGCCAAGAAGGAGGAAGGCGAAGAGGAGCAAGAGGTCGAGACCACAAAACTGCACTTTATGGTCGACGATGCCTCGATCAAGTACGCAGAGGAATGGAGCAAGACGAGAAACGAAGACGAGGCCACTGTCCAATTTCGCCTTGACAGTGCGAAGGAAGCACTTTCCCAAGTTCTCGCGAGCTTCTTCAACCCACCCAACGCGGCCACCATGGACTACGCTGGAGACACAATGATGCAAGATGCGCAAACCCAAGATGGCGAGGATGTGGAGGTCGCTTTCGTCAACCTCGCCAATGGGGAGGATGAGCTTGCGGATATCCCTGCGGAGATGCGAGAGATTGTTGCCGCTGAGATCGCAGCCTTCCGCGACCGTTCGAACCAGCGCGATCGCGAACGCCTGAGGAAGGAGGAAGAGGTTGAGCAGGAAGAGCGCCGCCGTAGTGGGAGGCGCACTTCGCCCCCTCCTTCTGCGCCTACTGGACCTGGCGGTGCCAACGGAGTGCCACTAGGTCCGCGTGCTGAGCGTGGAGTTCAAGGCGCACCGAGTGGACCTAAAAACTCCCAGTTTCCCCGCGATTATCAAGGTGGCGTAAACTTTGTCAACGGTGGTGCTATCAACAATGGTACCTACATTGACCGCGAGGATGATGATGATTCAGCCAGCGACTCTGAGCTTGAACGCCGTCGCCAGAAGAAGCGAAGTGAGGAGGCCGACGAAGCGTATAGGAAACAGCTTTCTCGATGGCTCAACACAGAGCGTCGTACTGTCGCCTCACTCGAGCGTACAAACGAGAACTTTAAGAACAAGGATGCGGAGCGCGAGAAAGCACGCGCGGAACAGGCAAAGTTCCTCCGAGAGTACGACGACGATGAACAAGCAGCTTCCAGGCGCGATCTCTACTACCGCGACCACAGCGATTGGATCCGTGCGCGCGAAAAGTATCGTAGTCAAGAAGCCAAGGAAGATGCCGCGGATCGGGACCAAGAACGACGTGAACTCGCGACACAAAAGAAGCAAAAGGATCATGCTCGTGGTCAGGCCGATGCATTCCTGGAAGAGCAGGGCGAAGAAATCATGCGCAAGGAGGAACAGCGCGAGCCCGCCTCACATTTCAAGATCTCTCTGGGTGCCGCCACAAAGAAGCTCGAACAGACTGCTGCTCCTCGCCGCACAGCTGCCGACGTCGAAAACCTTCTCGAAGACGAAGAAATTACCGATCAGCCCGGTACTAAGAAGCGCACTCTTGTTCCTATCAACTTCGATACCGCTGTCCGCGCCAACCTCACGCAGGAGGAAATTCTCGAAGGCCAGCGACAGCTTGCGCGCGACATTCCTACTGACAAGGAAGGCTTGTGGAAGTGGCCTGTCTCTTGGGATCATCTACCTGAGAAGACCATCGACAAGGACATCAAGGACTGGGCTGGAAACAAGGTTCTCGAGATCATGGGTCTACAGGAAGAAATGGTTGTCGATGTCATTGTGGACTATCTGAAAGACAGGCGCGGACCTCAGGCCCTGGTGGAGAACTTGGAAGGAGTGAGTATCTGGTCGTCCACCCCTCTATCTTTCACATGTTGCTAACAGTTTCCCTAGGCCCTCGACGAGGAAGCTGAGTCTCTTGTCAAGAAGCTCTGGCGTATTGTCATCTACTACAGCGAGACGGAGAAGAGAGGTATCAAATAAGTATGTAGTCTTACGTTCATACAGACAACGGACAGCATTGCGGTCTCTACGGGTCAACCTTCTACGGGAAATCTACGGTACGGGCGAGTGAGTATATGGGCGGTCTTCTCCGAGTAGCTATTGACGCGACGTAGGGTCCTCGGGATCTTGCATCACGGTACGAAAGTAGATAATGGGTGTGGAATCGATCATCATACCAGGTCCGTCCGTTCAATTTCAGTCGCAAGTACTAACCTACAGTGTTCATTCGTATGATGCTCACTCTATCTTGATGCAGGGTTGAAGTTTTGATCGATGAGTGTATATTGGTTTGTATTCACGCTCGTACACATACAGCTGGATCTTGATGTTCTACATCGAATGTTTCATGCTGCGGCTGGTAAGTGATGATAACCAATCGTTCACGGTAAGTCACGAGTAAGTTCCGTCGGTAGCACTACTCCTTCTGCACAACAGCGACCCCCACGTAGTCGGCCACTCGTCTCGTATAAACCTCCTCACGCGTCGTCTAAACCCAAGCTTCTCGGCTAAGTGCTTCAGCCCTCGGGTACGTAACCAAGCACACCAGACTAGGGACCCAAGACAACTTTGTAGAACCCTGAACGGAATTCATCCAGCATATGCTCACGTGTGAGGCAAATAAATTGCCCGAAACCGTCCATTCTCGTAGCCCCTAATTTTCCACTTTCCCCCATTGACAGGAAGGAGCGGGTCTTACTGACTGGGGGACTGGCGGAAGTGCTTTCTTCCACGAATGATGAGGGGCATTGCGGGGTTCAGGGCTCACGATGGCTGGAGAGGCAGCTGGCTTTGGGTCGAGCTGCCTGGGACTGGAGTGGAGCGGGTTACGTGGTTGGATTTTTTCGAACAGATAAATAGAAGTCCAGATCTCACTATATATCGTATCAAACTGAAATCCTTTCTTGTTCTTGTTTCTCAATTGCAACTTGTTGTATCAACTTGACAACGTGTCGCGGGGTACTTGCTATACTATTCCGAGCATTCCGAGAAACTCTGAGCAGCACGTTACACCAGCGTAGCGTTGCACACAATCATGGTTATCACTATCACAGGTGCGGAGACGAGGGATGTTCGGTTCCCGGTATGTATGAAAAGGAAGGGTTTTGGTAGGAACAGGTGTGCTGATGAGTGGATGGTAGACATCTCTGGATAAGACTGGTTCCGATGCTATGAATGCGGCGGGAGACTATTCTTCTGCTTACTGCATTCTGCATACAGACTCTGAGTTCAAGGGCCATGGCATGGTGAGTAGAATTGTTTCTTTGTACATGATGTGGTTGCATTGGGAGAGTTGTGGTGCTGGTGGATGTTGATTCCACACCACACCTCATACACCCCATCTCTCGATACAGTTTTTTCAACCACCACCCAAATGAACTACCCTCGCAAGAAGTTATGATATGCAACGCAATCTAATATATATACACAGACCTTCACAATCGGCCGCGGCAACGAAATCGTCTGCACAGCCATCGCCTACCTCGCCGACCGCATCAAAGGCCACACGCTCGACTCGCTCGTCGCAAACTGGGGCAAGACATGGCGCCACCTAGTAAACGACTCGCAACTCCGCTGGATCGGGCCCGAAAAGGGTGTCATCCACCTCGCTCTCGGCGCCGTGGTAAACGCCATCTGGGACCTCTGGGCAAAGTCGCTCGGCCAGCCCGTCTGGCGCATCGTCGCCGACATGACGCCCCAACAAATCGTCGACTTGATCGACTTCCGCTACATCACCGATGCACTGACGCCCGAGGAGGCGCTTGAGATTCTGACCAAGGCTGAGGCGGGCAAGAAGGAGCGGTTACAGGAGGCGTTGGATTCAAAGGCTGTGCCGGCGTATACTACGTCGGCAGGATGGCTGGGTTACGGAGAAGATAAGATGAGAGGGTTGTTGAAGGAGACGCTAGCAAAGGGGTACAAGCATTTCAAACTCAAGGTTGGAGGAGATCTGGCACAAGATAAACAACGACTAAGTATTGCACGGGAGATTATTGGCTTCGACAAGGGGAATGTGCTCATGGTTGATGCGAACCAAGTGTGGAGTGTGCCCGAAGCAATTGAGCATATGAAACAATTGGCAGAGTTTAAACCGTGGTTTATTGAGGAACCGACGAGTCCTGATGATGGTAAGTTCCCTTCTCTCCCCCTCTTCTATCATTCTATCTGTTGGAGACTTTACTAACACGCAAACACAGTCCTCGGACACAAAGCCATCCGCCAAGCCCTCAAACCCTACAACATCGGCGTCGCAACCGGCGAAATGTGCCAAAACCGCGTAATGTTTAAGCAATTCCTCGCGTCGGGCGCTATCGACATTTGCCAAATCGACGCCTGCCGTCTCGGCGGCGTAAACGAAGTCATCGCCGTACTTCTCATGGCCGCAAAATTCAACATCCCCATTGTGCCACACAGCGGCGGCGTTGGCCTGCCAGAGTACACGCAGCATCTCAGTACGATTGACTATGTTGTTGTCAGTGGCAAGAAGAGTGTGCTGGAGTATGTGGATCATTTGCATGAGCACTTTTTCCACCCTAGTCGGATTGAGGGTGGATATTATGTTACACCCATGGATCCTGGGTATTCGGTTGAGATGAAGCCCGAGAGTATGGATAAGTTTAGTTTCCCGGGTGGTGAGGGTGGATGGTGGAAGAGTGATGAGGCAAAGCCGATTTTGGAGGGGATTAAGATTTAAAGACGTGTGTGTGTGTGAGGGAGTAAAATTGCATGGGTGGTATGGATAGTAATGAAATGTATATTTTTGCCTCATGTGTGGGTGTTTTGCGGTAGTATGTAGCGATTTGACGCGGTATGCTCAGGCAGCGGTCTTTTTCTCATACTAAATCACAGTTCGGATAGCATCACCCATAGAGGGTTCGGCTATGATATTTGGATCAACTAACTCTACCACTCCCGCACAGCCTACTAAGCAGTCATATTATATCATGACAATCCTCATAGCTATATCATGAAACAGGGGAAATCTCACATGAACTGAGCTTGGATGATTTTTAGTACAAGATATGAGGAAGGCAACACGAACACCAAGTCATTCCACGTTGTTGCTTTCTTTTCAGAAGTGAAATTATTACTCCGCTTTTCATAATGTTGAACTGTTGAACATGTAGTTTTCAAAGCCGTACGTAACACAGGCGCGCCATATGATCATGTGTTTCATGTTTTCGGTATTTTAGAGAAGAGAATAGCGGGAAAACAGCCATTCATTTGTCATCTATGCGTTTTGGGAAAGACGAATATGAACTTTGTCGTAATAACTTTTCAAAGCGTGTCTCATAGAGTTTTAGACAGAAAGCAGAGAAGTTCCCATATCTCTTCTCATAGATGGTTTTCAAAAAGAGGAGGAAAGTGTATTAGAGAAGGTAGAAAGGAGTGGTAGGATAATGTTTTTATGCATCGCCAGCGCACGCATCATGTGTTTAGGAAATGATCTTCTCAAGTCCGACGGAGACATGGAACTGGTGGCCAGGTTATTACTGATTTTGAGAATAAGCGGTTTAGGAAAGAAAAGAACTCCATATTGTCCTAGTCAAAGAGTTTATTTTTTTTTGTTTCCTAGGGCATGTACTGGATGCGGATATAAGGGAAGGGAAGGGAGACAGACACATGGATGCACTGCCTTCACGATTTAATTTTGTGAAAAAGAGAAGAAGGTAGAAAAAATAAAGAAGGGAAGTCTGAGATTATAGTTCATACAATTTTCAATCCGCGCACTCAGACATTGATAACTTCATTTGTTGGTTTTTTAGGAGATGACTTCGCTGATAATTTCTCGCAATTGTTTTTGTTAGAGATTTTAAGAGCGGAAAAGAGAGGGAAACATCGCAGCTTTGTCGGGTTTTTTATAGGTGGACCAGGACAGGAAAGCAGAGAGCATTCCCGATGTACATGCAGCTTTTAGTATTCCGTGCATCTTGATAGTGATAGAGGAATGGAAAGTGTAGAGCTTGACGCTGAGTTTGTATGCGCGGCTGACTAAGCGGGCGGTCTGCGTGATGGTGGACAGAAGTGTGCAGAAGTGTGCGCACATACATCACAACAGATGAATCTAGCTTTTCGTTTCTAACTATAAAGGCAACGAGAAAACACGCAAGTTAATCTACTTAGAGGATATTTCAAAATTTTCAAAACATAACATATGTTTATCTATGTAAGAGGCCTCTGTTTTAGTCTGGCAATGTCTGCCTTTCTTCTTTCTACCTAGGTCGTGTCTTGGCGCACTAGCATGACGGGCTGTGAATATAAAAGATAGAGTAGACAGCGTGTTTCTATCATTACACTTCTTCTATATTCCTGAACTACTTTTCAAAAATCAAAAGCAGACGAGATCTATGTGCGGATTTTCCGAAAATTTTAACTCTACTATCCACACGTTCTGTTCCGCTTTCTAAAACTCCATCATAAGCTACAATAACTGTTCTAGAGACTAGTATTATATCTTAATAAAATCAGCCGCCCGAGCTCCAAAAACTCGTCTTTTACCGCATTTCGCATGACATGGAGGGTGTCAACCTGTATCGATCTCTATCTATAGCTTTCTCTTTTTCAACTCGCGGAAACTTCACATAAAATAAAAACCAGCTGGTATTCGTCAAATGTTCTTTTTGTTGAGAAAGAATGACTCTCTCAGTCATGGCATGTAAGTGTGTCAATTGCTAACTATACAAAGCTCGGCTAATATAGAGCGGTGTGGGTCATGTGACTTAGCGTCCTCGTGACAGGTGACCGGAATATTCTCAACACTTTTCCTCTTTTTTGGATTTACCTTCTGCGTTTCAAAAATACTAGACGCCAAACTATGTCTAGTTTGTCTAAAACATTTACATGATGCCTGTTGGTAGGCCTTGTACGATCGTACGGGTGAATAACAACAACGAGGTTCTTCTGGTGACTGGTATTGGTATTGATCTTCTACGAACATAGCTGCTACGAAGGTACACCTAAGCTCTGCGCAAGGTGGGCCGAAGTCGGGCCGAAGTGTCAAGCAGCCGACGTCTCTACCGATACTCACGATTCGACATTGGAAGTCTTTTCTTTCTGGATAGCTAGTAACTCTGCTTGTATCGGTAGTGACAGTGTGTGTAGCATCAAACATCAAAGCTTGTCGGCCTCTGCACCCATCCATCTACTCGGACTGTCAGCTTGTTGCCGTCAATAAAGCGTTCAAGAGCGCGGTTTGGCGATGCCTTCGTGAAGGCGTCAGCAGGATTATCGTCACCATTGATCCAGCGGATCTCAGTGATCTCGCGACGCTCATATGATTGACGCAGCGCCATGATGTCGATCATAAGACGCTTCTCCTTCGTTGTTCCAAGCTTAACGAGGCACTCGTACAAGGAGTACGAGTCTGTACAGACAACCAAGGGAACCTCAGGTATTCTAAGTCGTTCTGTGACTATTCTTAAGGTAGTGGCAATAGCGATGCCTATATCAAAGCCGTTGACCATGCCATAAATCTCAGAGGCTAGTACGCTCCTTGTGACGCGCTTACATTTTGTAGAGCTGTAGTGGATTATGTTGCCTTGGATTGTGAAGGTGTTAGCGTCAATAGACTCGTTGACGAGCATGAGGACAAAGCCGAGCTGTGAGCTGAGGTCCTTGTTGTTGGCAAAGGAGCCGTCTACGAAGACCATCAACTTAGCCTCCGTGAGATTGACAGTGATGTAACGGAGGCCACGATCGAG